CTAAAGGAGAATATATATATTGTACCTCCACCAGGTTCAAAGTACAGAGATACCAATACATATTTTAAACTGAATCGAGCCTTATACGGATTGAAACAGGCCGGACTTGTCTGGAATGATTGTTTAAATGATGTTTTGACCAAAATGGGTTTCCAGAGAAGCAGAGCAGATCCATGTGTGTATGTAAGAAATGTACAACATGATTATCAAGTATTGTTTGTATATGTTGATGATGTATCATTTTTGGCTGAAACTCAAGCAGAAATTGACAAATTTGCAGAAGAGTTAGGAAAACATTTTAAGTTAAGAAACCTTGGTCCAATTCAATATTTTCTTGGTGTACAAATTATGAAAACTGAACAAGGTTTTGTGTTAAGTCAAAAAGGGAAGATAATGCAGATTTTGGAAAAACTAAACATGAAAGAATGTAAAGGAGTTAAATCACCCATGATTTTAGGTTTTCAAAACGAAGTGGAAAATGCTGAACTATTTGAAGAGAAAGCCTTATACAAGAGCATTATTGGTCAGTTATTGTACATATGTAATTACACCAGAGCAGACATTGCATTTGCTGTGAATTTTCTAAGCAGGTATGCAAGCAACCCAACCATTGCTGCATGGAATGGACTTAAGAGGGTAGCAAGATATTTAAAGCAAACACAAGATTTTTGTTTGGCATTAAGTCCAGATGATTCGCTATCCTTGCAGGTATATACAGACAGTGATTTTGGCAACTGTGCTGATAGAAAATCAACAACAGGGGTTTTAGTTAAGTTTTCTAATGCTGTAATTGACTGGAAGTCGAAGAAGCAGAGTTATGTAGCTTTAAGTTCCAGTGAAGCTGAGTTTGGTGCACTTAGCTTAGCATATACAGAGATTTGTGTAATCAAACAACTGCTTAAAGACTTGCAAATACCTGTTGAAGATCCAACAACAATATATGAGGATAATCAGACATGCATCACAATGGCAACACAGGCCAGAGTAAAACAAAGAAGCAAGCATGTAGATATTAAGTACAGTTGTGTAAGGGATGCAGTGAAAAATGGTGAAATTGATATAGTATATTGTAATACAAATCTAAATCTAGCTGATGTACTAACTAAGCCACTGAGTGTACAGAAACATCAGAATGTTTTGAATGATTTGGGAATTTGTGAGTGTACCATGTAATTGTATTATGTATTGTGTTTTCCTCTACACACAAGGAGGAGTGTTACAGTATATGATTTTGTAAGTCTTGACAAGAATCATCTCTTGCTTATATGTGTGTTGAGGAAGAACCACTCCCTGATTAGGATGTATATCAGGTGAGGTTTTCTTGATGCAGGTAGTGGGTGAAATGAAGTAATCAGAGATGGAACTATGCTACAAGGTTTGCTGGAAAGAAGCAGATTAATGCATTATTTTGTAAGTGTTTTTTTCCTTCTGCAATGGACAATGTGTTTTCAAGGCTACTGTATTTTTTCTTTATAAAATACATGTGCTGACTACTCAAGAGTAAAGACATTTTTCTTTTATACTCTGTGTACTTCAACTTGGGGCCTGGAGCTGGGAAGACTGCTGTGTATTTTCAATATAAACTAACAAACCGCAACAAGCTGCAGTCAGAGACCTGAACTGTTGCTCTTAAGTGCTTCGCTGTTTCTTTTTTCCCCCCACACAAAAGCTTACACCTCAAAAAAGTACTACCTTGCCACAATTCATCTTGGCAAAAGGTTTTGCAGTGTCTTTCTGCCAGGGAATTGCCCCAAACTTCCACTTCTTCCATCTTTTCGATAATAATCTGACATGCAGAAGAACTCAGCCCAAGGCACTGCACCCACTTACCTTAAGTCGTCTGGCTGCTTGCCTCTGCTGCCTGGTGTTTTGTGATCTTTGTCTCCAGCTATCTGGCAGCCCTGTCTGACTTCACAGTTTTCTGACTCCTAACACAAAGATCCACACAGGATATGTGAGTGTAATATTGCAAGCTCAGCATTTTCCCCAAGACACTAAGGATAGAGGAATGTTAAATACTGATCTCAGGATAGCAAGAACGCAAAAGACCTGCAGTGAATAGACATTCCCCTTTGTTTTCTCCTTTTCTCACAGTGCATTCACTGCAAGCCTGTCTCCCATGTTCTCTTTCCTAGATCGCCCTGGCGTTCAAGACACCGCTATGGTGGAGTCCATCCAGGATCATCTTTCTGGAATCCTGCAGACATATATTCTCTGCCGACACCCGCCTCCTGGCAACCGCCTCCTCTACCCGAAAATGATCCAGAAACTTGCAGACCTGAGGAGCCTGAATGAGGAGCATTCCAAACAGTATCGCTGCCTCTCCTTCCTGCCTGAGCACAGCATGCAGCTCACTCCACTGGTCCTCGAAGTGTTTGGCAATGAGATCTCGTGACATCGTCGTCCTGAGGATGAAACACACCAGAGTTAAGGAAGGAGTCAGCCTGGCTTTCCACTGGTGGCAAACTGAGAGCTTTGGCCCCAGCGTTGTATATTGTCAGCGAGAGTTTTAACCCTTTTTTCCCTCCACACTACCAGAGGGACTTCATCATTTTTACATCTTTTGGCCTCGTCCTTTGCATTGCTGCTGAGCAGCAGTCTGCAAGCTTATCCCTTCTCTTCTGTCAATCAAAACCAAATAGTTTTCTCACTTGCTGCTTTGCCAAGATGAAATTGCTTGTCGCTTTCTTCAATGTTGAACTTTCAAGCCAGCGACTGAAATGACTGATCTGTGGGTTAAGGAAGGCGATGACTGGATAAGAGCTCCTAATTAGAATGGATGGGATTTAGGGTTTGAGGGTGATGGGACTACTGAGTATTGTCATCATGCCACGTGAAGAGCTTTTAGTCCAGTGTGAAAATAATGTACAGAAATTGATCTTTTGTGCGTAACATGTGCCCTCCCTGCCTGCCTTCCCAAGGCTCTTCACTACTATCAGCCAGATGATGATTTGGAGAGAGCTGGGGTTAACTGTTGTGGTGTACACAAACTACTCTAGCACTTTGTTGCACTAAATAGCTTGTTCAGAAGGGGAGGATAATTTAACTAATCATGTACATCTCAGTGGAAATTTTCTCTGAAAACTGTAAATAACAAGCCCCTGCCAATTTCCCAGCATTGTTTCAGAAGATGTTCTCAAAACATGGCCCCCTTTCAGCATCCCCCTCCCCCCAGTTTCAAACACTACCAGTTTATTTAGAGGAGCTTCTGGTTTCTGCAGTGGCATGGAGCTGATTTGCAATCCATTCAAAAGGTTTGAGTTGTCGCTTTAGAGCAGACCTTCGGCAGTCTATGTATGGCCCTCCAGATATTTCTAGGCTCCAATCTTTGTCAAGCCCAACCAGCATTACCATTGGTTAAGATATTATGGGAGTTACAAGTTTCCCACCCCTCTTTAGAGTCATGTATAGACCATTTGTTAGCAGGGCAAACTGACCTACAGGTCACTGTATAAAGAACTGACATGCAGAAGTAATCTTGTACTCTCTCTCTCTCTCTCCATGCTGGAGTCATAATGTTTGAGTCAGTCCGTAGTCATACTCAGGGAGGTTGAGACTAATTTATTTTTGTGGCTCATAAGATGTTTACTGTGAATTTGATGACCTCTGGACAAATTCAGCACAAGCTGCCACACTCTTATCAAGGGAAGGAATGTATCACCAATATTCAAACAGCATGGAATGGGCAGTTGCTAATATATTTGTCCCAAATAATCTTAAACTGTACACATAGCTTTCAGTGGACCGACATTTGCTTCTTGCAAGCATTGGCAACTGTTTCAATGTTTACACATGCAAAAGAGGAAAGTAAATTGTTGGCTGTAGTGAGAGCAAAGCTGCTTAAATGTGGACATTCTCTCATCTCACTTTTCAGAGATAGTTACCTTCTCAGAAAATGTGTAGTATTTCACTTCACCAACATGCTGTTTTCACAGAAATGATTATGATAGCTGCATTTTGCACGCCATGTATTGCTTCAGGTGAACACAAAGTGTCTTACAGGATGATAAATTCTAAGGATACACAAAGGCACATTTGGTTTAGCAGACCTGTAGAGTTGTGTCAGTAAGTATTTGCATACACGAATGGATCAGGGCAGAGGTTTTGGGGAGATTTCTTCGTGAGAATAAAATCTCCCTTTTGCTTGCTGTCAGTAGGATGATATAATAGGAAGAGATTATTGTGAAAAAGTGCCTTGAGCTTGCTCCAGTGCAGTAATTCCCCCCCCCCCCCCCAAAATTATAAGTAGACATTTTAGTCTTCTCAGCCCTTTGGCTAAGATCAAGTGTAGTAGTTTAGTCTGAAATTGATCTAAATTGCTAGCCTTGGAGGGATCCCAATCAATTTCCTTCTGTGCTTCAATGGGTGTTGGTATAAAGGTAACGCACCACATGGAATAAGTCCCTGGAATATATCTGCCTGTGAGGGCATGCATGCAGGTTCCTTTCCTCTCCCCCAGAAGTATGGCTGTCTCCCTTTTCTTGGACAGAACTTGATTAAAGAAAAAACTTTTGCATTCTGGCAGTGTGGGAAAGAAAGCAGGCATTTGCAACACGGTTCTATAATAGAAGCTTTGAAGCTTCTCAGAGCTCTGCCTCTTCGGCTGCTGGAGCACTTTCTGGCAGCAGTGTTTGACTCCTTTGGCAAGATACACCACCCATTAGTTTCTATCGAAAGTATGGTAGTACATCCAACATGCCTAAGCCTGTGTTCTAGCAGCCATTTCAATGGTGGATGGCCTTACTATACTCATCAAAGTTGTACATCTTAATACTCATGTCGTGACACTACATTTGAAAGTGTTATGTATACATCTTGCAGGAGGGAGTCAGAGGAGGTAAATTGGTAGTTTTTTAAAGTCATATTAAATCATAATAGAGTTAGCTGTCCACATTTGTGGATTTAACTTTTATGGATTTGATTAGTCACAGATTTGGCTAATACATTCTGAGAATCTCTAGGTCCTCCAGTGAAATTCTGCAGTCAGTCCCTGCCAGAAGTTGATCATGGAGGTCAGGCATGTAGCCGGGGGGGGGGGGGGTTTGAGGGGCTTCAGCCTGTTCTCAGGGTGGTCTGCGATAAGGCCTTATTGGTACATTATTTAAACTGTTATGTTTATTCATATCATGATCTGATCACCATGCTCAATATATCCCATATGCATGGACTATTGGGATAACCATGCAAAAGGTTTACTAGGGTAGATCCTCAGCCCCCCCACCCTTTGAATCAAACTCAGCCCCCCCTCCTGAATCAAACTCAGCACCCCCGAATCAAAATCCTGGCTACAGGCCTGATGGAGGCAAACTGCATGACCAAGAGAACACATCTTTAGGCATTAGTACAATGGTTCTCAACCTGTGGGTTCTCAGATGTTTTGGCCTACGACTCCCAAAAATCCCAGCCAGTTTACCAGCTGTTAGGATTTCTGGGAGTTGAAGGCCAAAATATCAGGGGACCCACCATTTGAGAACCACTGCATTAATAGATCCTCCAGCATAGTTCTGTGGTCAGTTTTTGATGGAATTGGTGTTTTTTATTTGTTGTTTTTCTACTTCGCTCCCCTAACTCATACAAAAGTGAAGGTCCTACTTTATTGGTTCCTCTTACCCCTATAATGTCAGTACTGATTGGCAGATTTCGAGGGATTCAGAAGGATTCAGAAGTTCACTTGAAGACTTAGGGTTGAAGCTGGGATTTTGCTTGCAAAGCATGTGCTCTGTCACTGAGCTATGCATGCCTTGGTGCCTTACAGACAAGAATGTGAGGTTTAGCTCTTTTATATCCCATCTTAGGAAGTTTTCCAAGTCTAATGGGATGCAGGACCATTTGAGTCTGGTAGTTAAATCTATCATGGCACAATGTTGAAAGAGAGGAAAGGAGTCAGCTATGCTTTCAACCACTCTCTGCTATATTGGACATAGTAATATTTTAAAATAATGATTACAGCAAACTATTCAAGTCACTCAATGAGTTGCATCTTGGTTGTTTTTTAAAATGCTATGTTAATACGCCCCTTTAGTCTAAAACAGTGGTTCCCAACCTTTGGTCCTCCAGGTGTTTTGGACTTCATCTCCCAGGAATCACAGCCATCTTACCAGCTGTTAGGAATTGTGGGAGATGATGTCCAAAACACCCGGAGGACTAAAGATTGGGAACCACTGGTCTAATGGGAACCTCACCAATACACTCTTGTGTTCCCTCTGCTTCCCTTACAGCAGTGCTTTCTTAACCTGTAGGTCCCAAGATGTTTTGGCCTTCAACTCCCAGAAATCCTAACAGGTGGTAAACTGGCTGGGATTTCTGGGAGTTGTAGGCCAAAACGCCTGGGGACCCACAGGTTGAGAACCACTGCCTTATAAGGAGACAGGATGGGGAGGATGTAATTTTATTTTATCTTTTGTTTATCTGTTCTGCTGGAGGTGTCCCTGGGATGCTTCTAGATGACTTTCCCAGCTTTGTATGGGAGACCCAGGTGATAGCATGGTTATGCCAAGAAGCAGTAAAATAGATGCACAGTGCTTTTCGACTGATAGCATTAGGGACACTCTTCCTTCAAAGTTCCCTTGAGTGCAAAGCTTAGCAAATCACTTATATGGACACTTGGCCAAAAGAAATAGTCCAAAGGAGTAGCTTTTCCAAGTTTTGCCTATTGAGTTTGGTCCAGCTGTGTCTGAGCTTTCCATCTGGAAGTATCCAGGATCTAAGTAAATAAGTTGTCCTGCAGCCATTCATAGAACACACTTGGCCACTATATTTTTCTAAAGAAATGGGGTGAGTGCTTTTGATACTTAGCCCATACATTAAGTGCGCTAGAAACGCCTATGCTGAACAATTTGCACCAGATTATGTGGCTTAATTCAATGTGTAAATGGCAATTTAATATAAGTTGACAATGTTCTGTTATAAAACACCAATTGGATTTTAGACATTTTAAGAACAATTACATTTGAATCAAAGCTGCTCTTTTTTGAGAGATGCTGGATTTTTTCCCCAACTCTGCATGTGAACGTCTAACATGTATCTATCTATCTACAGACACATACAGTGCAAGAGTAGCTTCTTTCCAAATGTGAAACACAAATCATCTCTTGTTTGTTGCCTTGTGTAATTTAAATGGCCATGCAATGCACTTTATATTAAAAAATCAGTGGAATGATTTAAAGAGACAAATCTATATTTAATTATAGTTCTGATGATGAAGAATAGAGGTGATTGCTATCTTTTTATTCCTTTGTACATCTTTGGGCTTTTTTCTAATGGATAAAAGAGAAGATATAATATAAAAAAATCCAGAGCTTTATTGACATGATAAGGAATGATTGAATCCTGTTTTCATAAGTTGTAAGTGTAATATGCTGTTACCTTATTAATAAACATGTATTGCTTTGTGACAACACAATCATTTGAGTGCAATTTATTTACACTGCAGTCCTCCACATTCTTGGCTGAGAGGTGTCCAGAAGAACAAGTAAATTCATATAAGGTCACGCTATCAATTTTCTTGTGATAAAACATATTTTAAAATGTAAAGAGTTTATATTTATTCAGAAGTGGATGATTTCAGGATGGTATTCTCTAAAAGACTTAAGCAAGACAATACTAAAAGAACACTATGGGCTTTTTATGTGTCAGGAGAAACTGCAAGTTGCTTCTGGTGTAAGAGAATTGGCTGTCTGCAAGGACGTTGCCCAGGGGATGTCTGAATGTTTTACCATCCTGTGGGAGGCTTCTCTCAAGTCCCCGCATGAGAAGCTGGAACTGACAGACTGGAGCTCACCCCGCTCTCTGAATTTGAACCATCAACCTTGTGGTCAGCAGTCCTACCGGCACAAGGTTTTAACCCATTGTGCCACCGGGGGCTAACTTCAGTTATTTCTAAATGGCACAGAACCATTGATTAAACAGGACTTGTGAAGTCAACACTTAGTTCAAGGGTCTACTAATGGTAGGATTTGTCCTAAAGCATTAAACAGTAAAATGGAAAGAAAGACACACACACACATATATGGCTCCATAATACACTTGTCAATAACTGGGTGATGCTGACGCGTTCCTCCCTTTTATGACTTTTACTAGTTCATTTTCGGTAATCCAGTTCTCATATGATTTAATTTCAGAAAAGTTAGAGGAGTGTTACATAATTAACACTGCATACCATTCAGGATTCACATTCTCTCCCTTTTCTCATGGATGTTACTGTTAATTCTCCTTTTCCTTGGGGGGAAACCCCTTTGGATGCAGAAGTTGCATCCAGAGCTGTCCTGAAATCTACATTGTTGTTGTTCATTCGTTCAGTCGCTTCCAACTCCTCCTGACCTCATGGACCAGCGCACGCCAGAGTTCCCTATTGGCCGTCACCACCCCCAGCACCTTCAAGGTCAATGCAGTCACTTCAAGGATACCATCCATCCATCTTGCCCTTGGTCGGCCCCTCTTCCTTTTTCCTTCCATTTTCCCCAGCATGATTGTCTTCTCTAAGCTTTCCTGTCTTCTCATGATGTGGCCAAAGTACTTCATCTTGGCCTCTAATATCCTTCCCTCCAATGAGCAGTCGGGCTTTATTCCCTGAAGTATGGACTGGTTGGATCGCGGTCCAAGGCACTCTCAGGATTTTCCTCCTGAGCTCAGCCTTCCTTATGGTCCAGCTCTCACATCCATAGGTTATTACGGGGAATCTTCATACTGGTGTTTTACTTACTTTAAACCAGTTTGGTGTATTAGGATTAGGGTTAGGGGTTAGGCTTAGGGTTTTACCATTAAAGAACTCTTACATTCCTTCTATAATATCTATGTCCAGCCTGGCTTACAGTACCTCAATCTCTGTCTCGGTCATGTGTTCCGTTCTGCGTTGCGCAAACACCGCTCTTGAAGGAAACAGCTTAACACTATCATACTATTACTGTTTCTTCTTCCAGGTCTCTATATAGGCCTGCCTATGCGTCTGCGTAATCACGTGCTTGTGTTAGCCTTTCTTTTCTTAGGCGATCCCTCGTTGTCCGAGTAGGATAGTCTTCCAAGATCAATGTACTGGTGGGTCTGTAGGTGGCTGTGGAGCCCTATTCTTGACCTGCATCTTCTCCCGCAGTGAGGGCATCGGTTTCCAGATGAAAGGCGGTCTCGATCGGGGTTGGCTTGACACGCATTCCTCTTGGCACGTTTCTCTCTTTCTCCCTCTATTTGTGCCTCTTCAAACTCTACAGAACTGCTGGTCACAGCTGAAAACAGCACTCAAGGGCCAGGACTTCCAGTCCCATTCTATTCCTGCCCACCAACATTCCATTTTCCGTTCTTGAGTTGGGAGTAGAGCAACTGCTTTGGGAGACGGTGGTCAGGCATCCGGACAGCGTGGCCGGTCCAGCGGAGTTGATGGCGGAGGACCATCGCTTCAATGCTGGTGGTCTTTGCTTCTTCCAGCATGCTGACATTTGTCCGCTTGTCTTCCCAAGAGATTTGCAGGATTTTTCAGAGGCAGCGCTGATGGAATCATTCTAGGAGTTGCATGTGATGTCTGTAGACAGTCCACATCTCGCAGGCGTAAAGCAGGGTTGGGAGGGCAATAGCTTTATTAATAGCTTCCCAGCAGTCATCAACCAATCCCTCTCCACAGCTTAATGGTGTAATATTAGAAAATGTTGACCATTTCCGCTCCCTTGGCAGCCACCTCTCCACAAAAGTCAACATTGACACCGAAATACAACACCGCCTGAGCTCTGCGAGTGCAGCTTTTTCCGAATGAAGCAGAGAGTGTTTGAGGACTGGGACAGCCGTAGGGAGACCAAAGGTTAGCGTTAGCTCTAGTAGGGACGTGCCCAGGTGGCTTAGGTAGGCCCAGCATGACGTCAGCGCGCACCTCTCCCCATGCCCCCTGCTGGGTTCGAGGTCTTGTCCGGACAATGGAAGCTAGCGCCTGATTTGCTCCCTCAGAATTCTGGGAAGTGTAGTTTAAAGAAGCCGAGCACCTCTCTAGCTTTGCATGCCAAAGTCTCCGTCCTGAACTACATTTCCCAGAATTCTGCAGGAGCAACTCCGATTGTCTCCGTTCTATAACGCTGGACGGTATATAAGAGAACCGCCATAGCTCTCTAAATGTGTATTTTAGAATAACAAATTTAGAGATGGTCCCCAGCGGGATTCGAACTTGCGAACTTGCCACCTTGCAGGCCAGGGAGGACCGCATGGCTCTAACCCGCTGCGCCACTGCTGCCTTGAGGGAGCTGCCGCTTTTTTTGTTGTCTTTGCCCTCTTGGCTGCTTCTGACGTCACAGGGGTTCCGTACCCCCCGCGGGGCGTGGTTTTGGCCTCCCTCGCTATGCGCATGCTCAGATTTCTGGTCGGAGCTCCACGCCGCTTCTGCCTCTTTCTCTCCATGCCGGGCCCGAAGCGCCCGCACCCGGCCCGCATCGGGACCCACAGCGGCACCTTCCACTGCGACGAGGCCCTCGCCTGCTTCCTCCTCCGGCTCCTGCCCGCTTACCAGGTACGCAGCCTCTTCCCCGCGTTGCAAACAGCCGGCCCCTGTCGCCGTAGAGTGGAGAAGAGCGGCGGGACTACAGCCCCCATGATTCCTCGGGGCCAGCTGCCTGTGCTTCCTAAGGAAGAAATGCGCGCAAGGGGTGATGGGAATCGTAGGCCAGAATTACTCACTCTGTATATACACACACATAAAGGGGGGGGGGGAGACCTAATTCTAAATGTGAAATCCATTGATTCACTTATGTCATGTAGCTTGTATGTAATTTCATACATTCACAATATTCTTAATCGATTTGTGCGTGAACCAAAGTTTGTGCACTTTGAATTGCCAGAAAGCGAAGGACACAAGGAGTTCGCATTAGTGTCATAGAACACAGGCTTTCATTTCCCAATTGGCCAGTTTGCTCCTGCAGAATTCTGGGAAATGTAGTCCAGGGAGAAGGCTTTGGAATTCTCAGCCAGAGAGGTCCTTGGCTTCCCTAAACTACATTTCCCAGAATTCTGCAGGAGCAAACTTGGCAATTGGGAAACGAAAGCCTTCGTTCTATGACACTAATAGGATCTCATGGCTTCTGGGGCCTGGATACAGTTACAACTGGTGGAAATACACATTCCCCCTTTGGGATGTAAGATCTTGGTCATCATGCTCTTATTCTGTCTGACAGCTACTATGAAAAGCAGTTTTGCAGCATTGATGTTGGTCCAGAAGTCTCTATGTCCACCAGACACAGAATAAGGATTTATTTTTTTGTCGTGTCAGGAGCGACTTGAGAAACTGCAAGTCGCTTCTGGTGTGAGAGAATTGGCCGTCTGCAAGAACGTTGCCCAGGGGACACCTGGATGATTTGATGTTTTTATTATCCTTGTGGGAGGCTTCTCTCATGTCCCCGCATGAGGAGCTGGAGCTGACAGAGGGAGCTCATCAGCCTCTCCCCAGATTTGAACCTGCGACCTGTCAGTCTTAAGTCCTGCCAGCACAGGGGTTTAACCCACTGCGCCACCGGGGGCTCCAGAATAAGGATGATGACGCTGATATACCAAATAGGTGTAAACCTGCAGATAGGACAAAATGGTTCATCATACAGGCTTGTGATGCACATCCGATAATGCTCAAATGTGTATGATAGACCATTACAGCGATACCTGATTGTGGGAGGGAAGGCAGAATGACCAGAGACCACAGGATGAATGGACAACGTGACAATAACAACAACAATAATAGTAGTGATACAAAAATTATTTATTGGCCACTGCTCTTCATTCACATCATTTGATCATAACACAGAATTTATATAAATAAAAATGTAATGTTTGTTTGTGGGAGTAACATAACTCAAAAACCACTGGGTGAATTGGCACCAAAATTGGACACAATATATCCATCAGGCCAACGAGTGACTATCACTCATAAAAACAGTGAAAGACACAGCAGAAGAGACTTAAAAAGCCAAAAAACAAAAATTACATTACGATGCATACACAAACACACACATATACACATATCTAAATAAATAAAAATGTAATGTTCGTTTGTGGGATTAAAATAACTCAAAAACCACTGGATGAATTGACACCAAATTTGGACACAATACACCTATCAGGCCAATGAGTTACCATCACTCACAAAAAACACTGGAAAACATAGCAAAAGAGACTTTAAAAGTCAAAAAACAAAAATTACATTACAACGCATGCACAAAACCACACACACATATATATATGCAAACACACATATACACAAATGGACACACAAAACACATATACACAGACTGGGCCACAGCAACACATGGCAGGGGACGGTTAGTATATTATAATAGAATACATTCAATAAAATGCACATATTAAAATATAGTTCTATAAAATACACATATTAAAGTGCACACAACAAAGACTGACGCCAATACCAATAACATGCAAGTTAAAATTCCCCATTTAAAATTGACTGGATAGGCCTGCCAGAAGAGATGGGTCTTCAGCTGTATCTTATATCCCGACAGCTGATTTAGCTGTTGAATCTCTTCTGGCAGGTCGTCCCATAGTCTTTTGGAGATGGCCAAGGAGCCGCCGGTGGCACAATGGGTTAAACCCTCCTGCTGGCAGGACTAATCGACCGACAGGTTGGCATTTCGAATCCGGAGAGTGGGGTAAGCTCCTGTCTGTCTAGCTCCAGTTCCCCATGCAGGGACCTGAGAGAAGCCTCCCACAGGATGGTAAAACATCAATCATTTTGTGGTTCCTTGGGCAATGTCTTTGCAGACAGCCAATTATCTCACACCAGAAGCAACTTGCAGTTTCTCAAGTCATTTTTGACACACAAAAAATTGCAGGTGGCAGATGAAAAAGTCCTGAAAAGGGTGACGTTTGCCACTTGGCTTCTTCTGTCCCATTCCTTCTCAATGTTGTTACTCCTCTGTTCCCCCAGGATGCGGAGATTGTCCGGACGCGGGATCCCCAGTTGCTATCGGGTTGCGATGTAGTGGTGGACGTTGGAGGGGAGTATGACCCCCAGAGGCATCGCTATGATCATCACCAGAGGTACCATTGGAGGTCCCAGTAGCTGCACATTCTGCTGGAGGGCTTCTGATTGGAGGGTTTGGTTGGCCCCATGGAAACAGAAGAAAAAGCTATTTGCAGGGGGGGGGGGGGGATAGTGTGGCTCTCCAAATATCGGTAAACTACATTGACTTGGCTGGTTGGAGCTCATGGAAGCTGGAATCTAAGGACCTCTGAAAGGCTACCAGTGTAGCAGGCAAAGAGGCACCAACCACAGCTCCACCTGCATCTTGACTCCCGTGTGGCTTTTTATTCTATCCAGAGTGCTGGTTATGACTTATCAACCCCTATACAGCTTGGGTTCAGATTATCAGAAACATGGTTATATCCCCATATTGCCTAAATTTTCAAATCCTCAGGAGAGCACTTTGAATCTTATTACACTACTAGCCGTCCCCTGCCATGCGTTGCTGTGGCCCAGTCTGGTGATCTGGAAAATAAAGTAATGAGAAAGTGTTGATTTCTAATATATGTAATGTCTTCATGCTTGTGGGTAAACAGTATTTCTTGCTGTTTCTTTGTCAGTGTTGATGTGGAGAGCGTCTTGTTTGCCTACTCTGGAACATGCAACATATAATTGTCCTACTTTAAGGGTTCCTTTCCTATCTATGATACTGTGTGTGTGAATCATATATATCTATCTATATCTATGGTTAGATGGCTCTTTGTCAGGAGGGCTTTGATTATGTTTTCTTGCCCTGGTGAAGGGACTTGGACTGGTTGGCCTTAAGTATGGGGGTTCTGTGTGGGAAGTTTGCCCCAATTCTGTTGTTGGTGGAGTTCAGCATTCTCTTTGATGAACTATAAATCCCAGTAACTACAACTCTCAAATGTCAAGGTCTATTTCCCAGAAACTCCATCTGTGTTCATATTTGGGCATATGGAATATTTGTGCCAAGTTTGGTTCAGATCCATCATTGTTTGAGTCCACAGTGCTCTCTGGTGAACTACAACTCCCAAACTCAAGGTCAATGCCCAGCAAACCCTTCCAGTATTTTTTGTTGATCATGGGAGTTCTGTGTGCCACGTTTGGTTCAATTCCATCATTGGTAGAGTTCAGAATTCTCTTTGATTGTAGGTGTACTATAAATCCCAGCAACTACAACTCCCAAATGACAAAATAAAAAAAAATGAGTGATGGTCACCATTGGGTTAGTAGGTGTCTTGTGGCCAAATGTGGCCACAATTCATCCAGTGGTTTTTTAGTTATGTTAATCCCACAAATGAACATTCCATTTTTATTTAGATACTAGAAATCCTAGCTACTACAACTCCCAAATGACAAAATCAATTTTTTTAGTAATGGTCACTCGTTGGCCTGGTAGGTGTCTTGTGTCCAAATTTGGTGTCAATTCACCCAGTGGTTTTTGAGTTATGTTAATCCCACAAACGAATATTACATTTTTATTTATATAGATGTAACATGATTTTTGTTCCTGAGTTATGGATGTAATTTCCTAATTGTCTCTCTCATAAAAACACGGGAAAAGTTTATTAAACTGCAAAAACTTTGTTTTTGCGGTACATCCTGCAACACTTTTTGCTGTAGTTTTTCAATGAATATCTCATAAAGAGTCTTAACTGATTCAACATAATTGTGGCAGCCACAAAAACAAAGTTTCTGGAGTATAATAACTACTTTGAAGTAAGTACTGCACGATAAAACAGAAAATAACACTTTCAAACCAGGAAGAGATTTTATTTTTCAAATTTTGCTACATAGTGTTATTATTGCAGACACTGTTGAGGGCATGGGAGAGAGCCTTCTTTGGTGGGTTTTTTCCAGACCAAAGCTTTCCAAACTGTGTGTTGGGGCATGGTAGTGTTTCAGCTGCAGCATGCTGCACAACTGTAAGGACAATTGACACAAATCTTGAAAATGGATATTATTACATACAAGTCATATATATTTTAAAATATAAATAAAAGGTTTTCATGAGGTATCTGTAAACTACATTGATATCTGTGTGGGTATGTTTTACCCACACACATTTTGTTACTACAGTGTGTGCATGTTGTTATTACAATGTATGTACTACGGTGTTGTTCAAAATATTGTATGTCATTTTTTTGCCTTTATATGCTGTTTTCTGCTTTGAGTCCCAACTCGGGAAAAAGTGGGAGAAAAATAAATAAATAAAATAATAATAATAAAATAAAACTTTATTTATACCCCGCTACCATCTCCCCAAGGGACTCGGTGTGGCTTACATGAGGCCGAGCCCGCAATACAACAATACAAGCAATAACAATAACAATACATGCAATAAAAATAAATCACATAGACAATAACATAAGCATGTTGTGTCCATATCTCTTATAATATTTACTTCTTTGCAACAGGGGTTATCATCCCTAGTAGAGGGGAAGTGGGTGTCTTTCTTTGTAATTGACGTCCTCTGATCTGTCCTTGTCCCTTCAGGTCGTTTGGAGAGTCAATGCACAGCTTGAAACCGGATAAACCATGGCAAACCAAGCTAAGCAGCGCAGGGCTGGTCTACTGCCATTTTGGCTCCCAGATCCTGGCCAACCGGTTGGGCCTCAAGGAGCAGGATCCAGTCTTGCACGTGTTGTATGACAAGGTATGGGAAGAGGAGCCAGAAAGACCACTTCTCTGAGAATGGAACCAACTCACCTTTGGATCATTGCTTTCAACCTCAGGGCCAAACCTATTACAAGTTGGGCTTTCCTTATCGAAAATACTTGGGACAAGGAGTGTTTGGATTTTAGATTATTTCAGATTTTTGAATATTTTCATATACATACACAATGAGACATATTGGAGATGGAACCCATGTCTGAGAGCCAAAGTATGAAGGTGCTGTGTTTCTTCAGTACTAAGACATATATTGTTCTCTATGTAAACATCTCTAAAAATGGGGTGCATCTTAGAATCGCAGCTGTATCTTATTTATTTTTGGTGGTGGCGGTGGTACTGGAATTAGGGCGTGTCTTACAATCAAAGAAATATGGTCATTTTGTAACATTTTTAACCATTTTGGGCATTAAAGAAAATTTGTGTACCCTGAACCATCAGAAAGCAAAGGCATCGCAATCCCAGCTACCCATGCTGATGTTTTTCGAATTCCAGATATGAAACCTTTATTAGGTTGAGTGAGGCGACAAATTTGGGGTGTCATGAAAAGGCAGCAAATTACAGTATGTAACAAAATTTGAAAAAATCTGTTCCTGGTTTGAAAGTGTTGTTTCCTGTTTAATTGTGCGGTGCTTACTTTGAAAGTAGTTGTTATACTCCAGAAACTTCATTTTTGTGTCTGCCACAAACAATTTTGTATTGGCCAAGACTCTATGAGATATTCATTGAAAAACTAGAGCAAAATGTTCTGCAGGCCATCTCGCAAAAACACAGGTTTTTGCGGTTGAAGAAACCTTTTCCATGTTTTTATGATAGAACCAATTGGGAAATGATATTTATAACCTAGGAACAAAAATGTTATTTGCAATTTCACTATGTCAGGGCAGAGAATTTGTGGAATTTTGGGAGGCAGGATGGGGAAAGATTTTGTGAAGTAGGCAGATAATAGAAAACTCTACATTTTTAAAAAAGTAGAGCTGAAAGCATATCATAAAATCACACTGGAGGATCTAGATCGGTTCACAAACAGTTTGGAGAGGTATTTTTTGAAGCATGGGTAAATGAAACCATTACTAAATCCATGGATGTGATAGTCATACTGTATTTTAGTGCTTTCTAAAGAAAATTTTAATGCTGTTATAGCCCACCATGTTAGATGTACTCACAATGGATTACTTTGAGTAAATTGAGTAAACAGAAGCTGGATGGCCATCCGTCAGGGGTACTTTGATTGTGTTTTTACTGCATGGCAGGGAGTTGGATTAGATGGCCCATGTGGTCTCTTCCGACTCTATTATTATGTGATTCTGTGGTTCTTGTGGAATTTGATTAGAATGCCTGTGGAATTTGGCTAGAGCTGGGTCGTCTACACCTTGACTCTGAAATGGTTTTTGCTGCTTCATCTCAAGTAGACATATATTTTGAACTGGTCTCGACAAGTAATTACATAGAATCATAGAGTTGGAAGAAATGCCAAGGGCCATCTAGTCCAACCCCCCTGGCATGCCTGAATATATACTCTCAAACAACAGCCATCCAGCATCTCTTTGAAAACCTCCAGAGAAGGAGACTGCGCCACACTCTGAGCCAGCAGCATATTCCACTCTCAAAGCACTCTTGTTGTCAAGGGGTTCTTCCTAATGTTCAAGTGGGGTGTCTTTCCGAGCAGTTTTAATTCAGTGCTTCGTGTCCTAGTCTCCAGAGCACACTAGGAGAGAACAAGTTTGCCCCATCCTCAATGTGACATGCCTTCAAATATTTAAACATGGTTGAACCTTCTCTTCTCCAAGCTGCTCCTCATAGGGCTTGGCTTCCAGACCTTTAATCAGCTTACAGAATAAATGGAAGGCTGGGGAGGAGCAAGCTCTCATTGACCTTAAGGGCCATGGTGTAATGAGATGGTGGTTCCCTGATCTTTTCCTCTTTTCTCCCCTTCCTCCTAGGTATATGAGAACTTTGTGGAGGAGATTGATGCAATCGACAATGGCATCTCGCAGTGGGATGGAGAGCCCCGCTATGCCATGACCACGAACCTGAGTGCCAGAGTGGGATACCTAAACCCACGCTGGAATGACAAAGATCAAGACACAGAGGTAGAGATATGAAAGCTTGGGAGAGGTTTTAATGGTATTTCTTTGTGGTAACCTTCATCACTGTGTCCAGAACTTCTTACAGAATACAAAGAAGATGGCGTACAAAATTAATCAAATTTATTTATTTTATTTTATTTAAAACATTTATATTCCGCCCTTCTCACCCCAAAGGGGACTCAGGGCGGAGCACAGCATACAGTAGGCCTGCATATTGTGTGAGGGATCGTTCTTTGTGTAACACAATTTGTGCATATAACACTATATGATACAATTTTTGTTCCTGGGTTATGAATGAATGCTTTATTTATATCCCGCCCCATCTCCCAAAGGGACTCGGAGCAGCTTATCTATAAATGTCATTTCTTAATTGGTTCTATCATAAAAACCTGTAAAAAGTTTATTAAACTGCATAAACAAATTTATTTTCTGTATTTGTATACCGCCTTTCTCAGCCAATCGGCGACTCAAGGCGGTTTCCAACAAAACAGTACACATAATATCATAAAACAAGTTAAAACATTAAAACAGTATAAAACAACAATAATAACAACATCATTAGCGTCCCTTATTATCAAGCATTGTCCAGTTCCATCGTCAGACAAAGACATCCTGCAGCACATTTTGCTATAGTTTTTCAATGAATACCTCAACCAATTCAGCATAGTTTGTGGGAGTCACAAAAACAAAGTTTCTGGAGTATAAGAACTACTGTCAAAGTAAGCACTGCACAATGAATCAGGCAATGACACTTTCAAACCAGGAAGAGGAAAAAAAATCAAATTTTGTAACTTAGTGTAATTTGGAACCTTTTTTTTCTTACCAGAAATGAATGATGTCTTGGATTTCTTCTCAAAGCATAGCATAAATTGTGCAGGAGGACTTAGTGAATTGTTTACTCGGGACCTCCAGCACAGTTCTTTGGTCAACTTTTACTGGAAGTCGACCATATAATCGTTCTAAATGAAACTGCATGAAGGGAATTCATATAATAAGTGGTTCTTTTGTAATAGAAGTAGCCTTTAAAGCTTTAAAAAACCCTTTTAAGGCCTCGGAGAAAAACCAGTCTTGTCTGGTATCAAAAAGGCTAATAGTGAAGACACGAAGAATTCTTTTTCAGTAGAGTGTTCTGCAACTTGCCCTATTTGAATCACTCAAAATCTCAGGCCTCTTCTGCACTACTATATAATTCAGATTATCAAAGATAATAACACCCATTATCTGCTGATGAGACTACACTGCCATATAATCCAGTTCAAATCAGATAATCTGGATTTTATATGGAATTATAGAAGGAGCCTCAGATGCTTCCAGGGAAGGACATATTGTATGACTCAGTGGAATGAATGAACCTGGCTGAAGGGTTTCTTCTCCAGCTCTGTGCTGTCTTCTTCAGGCAGGTTTCCAGAAGGCCATGGAGCTGGTGGGCAAGGAGTTCTTGGACCGCTTGGATTACTTTTACCATGCCTGGATTCCTGCGCGCAGCCTTGTGGAGGAGGCCATCCAGCAGCGCTTTGAGGTACCCATGACTTCCTCTGGCATCTTTCCCACATGGTTTCAAAAGACTGGGCAAGATGTAAGGCAGGCCTGCACAACCTGCAACCCTCCAGGTTTTTTGACTTCAGCTCCCAGAATCCCTGGCCAATAGACAAGCTAGCCAGGGCTTCTGGGAGTTGGAGTCCCAAACACCTGGAGGGTTGCAGGTCTGGTGTATAAGTAGTCCATGTTGGTAGGCTGCAACTTGCATCAGCCCTGGATGATAACTACTCCCAACAAATCTGAAAGCCATGAAAGCCCTGGGGTGTGTCCACATTACACTATTAAAGTGCTTTGATCCCCCTTTATAGGCACAAGAGCCCTCTGGCAGAGAATTCTGTCTGTCATTGTATTTCTTGTACCAGCAAAACATTAGACTTCATCATATAATACACAATACAAAAAGTATAGAATAGAAAACAGAGCAAGTAGCTTTTCAGCAGTTTTTTTTTAAATCTTGAAATGTAATAAACATACTGTATTTAAAAAGATGTAAAAACAAGATAATATTTATGGCTCTAAATGATATTTTGATAAATCTGGGCAGCAGAGAGAAGAAACTTTACAACTGTCTGTGTTAAATGTGTATTAGCATCTGCTAATAAATACATTAAGCACCAATCAGAAGATCTTCCAGGAAATTTCTATGTCTTATTTACTTCTCTCTATAAAATTATAAAAAAATAATTTTATATCTTTATCTCAGGATAAGTAATGTGTTATTCTATCACCCCATGGATGAATAAGACTTTTTGTAAGAAATTTTCTTGAAGTGACCATCACGTGCATCAAAAGGGATAATATTTTTATTGATTTTTATTCAAAAAGCAAACATACTATCATACAAACAAAGATATATGTAAATAAATTTCATCAAACTCAAAAACAAAAAACAAATGTTTTTAATGATAGGCTTTGATAAATTGCCTGCTTTGGCAGCACATATAAAATTGGTACAATAGATTAGATTAACATGGCAGAGAATTCTAAATGCCTTATAGAACTACAAATTCCAGAATTTCATAGGATGGAATCATGACAATTAAAGTCTTTTCAAAGCACTATAATAGTCCAGTACAGATGCCATCAGGCTTTTTCACATCCTTCAAACACCTTGTTGTGAGTCTCCACTGACCTCTTATAAAGAAGCAACTCCCACAAAGATAATAGTATAAATCTTGATGTTATGTATGATGTGAACTAATTTGCTTGTCTGTGCATAGCTAGGACAACAAGGAGTGAAATGACGCACAGCGTGTCCCAGAAGCCATGTTATTTTTCTTACCACTCTTATGGAGACTTACTTTTAGCTTCTCAGTTAATGTACACATTTCCATGTCTCGCTCCAATACAATCATGAATACTTGGAAGCTAAAAGAAAGAGGCAAAGGCCAATTGCAGTGGATGGTGTCATTAGACTTTCCAGAGTGTGTTTGTTTGTTTATGTATATATTGTGTCAGAAGCAAATTGAGAATACAGTTCTAATGTATTTTAAAAGCCAAAAAGTTAAAACTTGACATTATATTAAATTTTCTTTGACCAGAAGCTGGCCACTTGAGGGGCCTCTAGTGTTGCTATGAGAAGGTGCTCCATTGTGCATGTGGCAGGGCTCAGGCTGCATTGTAATAAGTGTTCTGTGTTCTGCTGTTTTCCACATTCATGTCGTGGACTCCACTTTGTAGCCCCATTTCTTAAGATTGGCTCTGCATCTCATGGTGCCAGAGCGCAGTCTGTTCAGCGCCTTCCAAGTTGCCCAGTCTTCTGTGTGTCCAGAGTTTAGATTGATAGAAAATACCATTTTTCAAATGTGAATAGAAAGCTGTTCTACTTGTAGCCTATCCTGGCATATGAACTATTGACATTGTGTGGCCCTGAGTGACATCCACCTTTTCAATTGGCAGGTCGACCCCAGTGGTGAGATTCTGGTGCTGGCCCAAGGTGGCTGCCCATGGAAGGAGCACCTGTTCACCCTGGAGCAAGAGATGGACCTGAAGAAGCCTCTGAAATTCATCTTGTACACAGACCAGGGTGGCCAGTGGCGAGTGCAGTGTGTTCCTTCTGGCTTGCACACTTTCAAAAACCGGTAAGCAGGGATCCCAAGTGTCCTCGCCGTTGCTTCATTCATGAAGGTAGGGGAATGCTCTGGTAATGACCCAGATCTTCATCTTATGCTCACTGAAAAACCAGGGAAGATTCTGGTTTTATCTTAAAGGGCTATGAGGTGCATTAGACCACACCTGGAATATTGTGTCCAATTCTGGGCACCACAATTCAAGAGAGATATTGACAAGCTGGAATGTGTCCAGAGGAGGGTGACTAAAATGATCAAGGGTCTGGAGAACAAGCCCTATGAGGAGCGGCTTAAGGAGCTGGGCATGTTTAGCCTGAAGAAGAGAAGGCTGAGAGGAGATATGATAGCCATGTATAAATATGTGAGAGGAAGTCACAGGGAGGAGGGAGCAAGCTTGTTTTCTGCTTCCTTGGAGACTAGGACGTGGAACAATGGCTTCAAACTACAAGAAAGGAGATTCCATCTGAACATGAGGGAGAACTTCCTGACTGTGAGAGCCGTTCAGCAGTGGAACTCTCTGCCCCGGAGTGCAGTGGAGACTCCTTCTTTGGAAGCTTTTAAACAGAGGCTGGATGGCCATCTGTCAGGGGTGATTTGAATGCAATATTCCTGCTTCTTGGCAGGGGGTTGGACTGGATGGCCCATGAGGTCTCTTCCAACTCTATGATTCTAATGTGGGATTTGATTCTATGATTTGAAGTGCAGAGAAGTTGGAGGAAACAGGGCAAGGGGAGATGGAAGATACTACAAAGCACATCCACAAAGGCTAAGAACCTCCTTGTTTTGAAGAAGCCCACTTGTCCTTGGAGGCATCTTTTTCTACAAAGACTTATGCTGCAGTAAACTTTAACCTTTGTGGCATCAAAAGACTTTCTGGACTTAGTCCAACATCCTTTCAGCATAGTGTAAATCAGAAGTCCTCAAACATTTATCTGGCTCTCGCTCAGGGTCAACCTAAGTCTGAAATGACTTGAAAGCACACAACAACAACACAATCCTATCTCATCAGCTAAAAGCAGGTCCACGCTTCCCATTAAAATACTAATAAGTTTATATTTGTTAAAATTGTTCTTCATTTTAATAATTGTATTGTTTTAATGTGTGTGTGTTTTTTTGTTTTGTTTTTGGGGGTTTTTTGCATCTATATATATAAATTTGTTAGGGGCATCCAACGAGGAAACAAAACTCAAAAACCCCCCAACGAAACTTAACCAAAATTCCCATGCCCATAACACAACCCACAAGGTACAAACATACCTACTCAAAATGAAAAACAAACATATCTACTCAAAAGGTACAAACATATCTACTCAAAATGAAAAACAACACAACAACACACTCACAAAACGGCAAAACAAAAAAACTCAAAAAAACCCCAACGAAACTTAACCAAAATCCCGTGCCCATAACACAACCCACAAGGTACAAACATATCTACTCAAAATGAAAAACAACACAACAACACACTCACAAAACGGCAAAACAACAAAACTCAAAAATCCCCCAACGAAACTTAACCAAAATCCCCGTACCCATAACACAACCCACAAGGTACAAACATATCTACTCAAAATGAAAAACAACAAAACAACACACTCACAAAACGGCAAAACAACAAAACTCAAAAAATCCCCCAACGAAACTTAACCAAAATTCCCATGCCCATAACACAACCCACAAGGTACAAACATATCTACTCAAAATGAAAAACAACACAACAACACACTCACAAAACGGCAAAACAACAAAACTCAAAAATCCCCCAACGAAACTTAACCAAAATCCCCGCGCCCATAACACAACCCACAAGGTACAAACATACCTACTCAAAATGAAAAACAACACAACAACACACTCACAAAACGGCAAAACAACAAAACTCAAAAATCCCCCAACGAAACTTAACTAAAATCCCCGTGCCCATAACACAACCCACAAGGTACAAACATATCTACTCAAAATGAAAAACAACACAGCAACACACTCACAAAACGGCAAAAGAACAAAACTCAAAAAAACCCCAACGAAACTTAACCAAAATTCCCATGCCCATAACACAACCCACAAGGTACAAACATATCTACTCAAAATGAAAAACAACACAACAACACACTCACAAAACGGCAAAACAACTGAGCATGCGCATTGGCGCCCAGCCGCAAGTTCCCTGGCGCGCGCACACAGTCTTCCGGCCAACGTTCCCTCTGCCATGCCCACTCCAAACCCTGCCGCGCCGCTTCCCGCACACACACACACCCTGCCGCACGCACACACACAACCCCACGCTCCATCACTCCCCCCACCGCCGCACACACACGCAACCCCACTCCCCCCGCCGCCGCACGCACACACACACGCAACCCCACCTCCCCCCGCCGCCGCACACACACACGCAACCCCAGGCTCCATCACTCCCCCCGCCGCCGCACACACACACGCAACCCCACGCTCCATCACTCCCCTGCCCCAATCTTACCTCCTTTTACTTCACGCCACCTCCAAACCCCACCCCGCCCCTTCCCGCCCTGTCAAAATCTAGGAAAGACAGGAAGGAAGGAAAGAAGGAAGAAAGAGAAAGGGAGGTAAAGAAAAAGGGGGAAGGAAGGAAAGTTAGAGGAAGAAGAAAAGGAAAGAAAAGGAAAGATGGAAGGAAAGAAAAGAGAGACAGCAGAAGAGAAAAAAAAGGGGGAAGGAAGGAAAGAGATAGAGAAAGAAGAGGAGAAGGAAAGATGGAAGGAAGGAAGGAAGGAAGGAAGGAAGGAAGGAAGGAAGGAAGGAAGGAAGGAAGGAGGGGGGAGGGAGGGAGGGAGGGAGGGAGGGAGGGAGGGAGGGAGGAGGGAAAGAAGGAGAGAAAGAGGGAAGATTGGCCACAGCAACACGTGGCGGGTAAAGGTTGTTATTTCTATTATTATGATGATGCTATTGTTCCTATGAGACCCTTTTAGGGGGAATGGGAGAGGTGTCAGGTCCCAGAGGCAATGCATTGCATTATTGTTATTGTTATGATGGTGGTGAAATAAAAGGAAATAAAAAGTGAAAGAAGGAAGCAAACAGGGAGGGAAGAAAGGCAAAGGAAGAAAGGGGGAGGGAATGAAGGAAAGAGAGAAGGATGAAACCAAGTAGTGAAAGAAGGAAAGAAAGAAAGAGGTAGAGAAGGAAGAAAGTAGAGAAAGGGGGAGGAAAAGGGGGAAGGAATAGGTAGGTACCTCTCTTTCATAATAGTCCAGATATCTACCTCAACTTTGATAAGTTTTACTATAGGCCACAGCAACGCGTGGCAGGGCACAGCTAGTTACAAATAAGATATGTGCAGTGTGCATAGGAATTCATTCATGTTTGTTTTTTTTCAAATTATAATCCGGCCCTCCAGTTTGAGGGACTGTGACCTGGCCCTCTGTTTAAAAGGTTTGAGGACCTCTATTCTAAATATTCACATGTGGTTTTATGCTACATGGAGCCCTGACTTGCTGTAAAGCCCTGAAAATGCCCCATATGCCCATTTTGTGCTTTGTAGACAGAGCCAGGAAGTGTCTGGTTACCTCTCCCTGGGACAGTGGCTCCCAACCATTGGTCCTCTGCGTGTATTGGACATCAGCTCTCACAACTCCTAACAGCCAGTAAAATGGCTTGGATTTCTGGGAGTTGGTCCAAAACAACTGTAGGGCCAAAGGTTGATAATGACTGCTCTAGGTGGACACAAGATGATCACATAAGTGCTCAGATACCAACAGGACAACCACTGATGTTAGTGCTTGTTGTCATCATTGTGCATTATGCCACAGGGATATAGCCAGATGCTTCTCTGAGCCTTCTTTTTGTCAAGCACTTCAAGTACTCCACAGTAAGTTGGTAGTGGGACTTTAAGCATTGTGGGATGACCCACAACACCTAAACATGACATAAGTGCATAGAAAGGACAATGAAGTGCATACAGTACAAACCACATATCAGCAAAGGATGTGTTATTATCCCCCTGAATAATAGCAAACCCTATATTTGCTTTAATTTGGGCCAGAAACATTGGAGGCCCGCAAACACTTTCAAGGGAAAATATTTTTTTGACGTATGGTAAATGAAACAGGATTTTAACTCCATGGATAAGAGAGATGGTAGTGTACTGCCCTTACAGAATTCCACTCTATTAATTTTCACCACTACAGATCTGATGGCATCTGAGGGATCAAGCTGGGTTTTAATACTGTTTGAAAACTGATTGTTGTTTTATATTTTTATAAGGCATATTGAGCAAGGACCATAGCTCTGTGGTCGAGCATCAGCTTTTCATTCAGAAGCCCCCAAAGCCAATCCCTGGTATCTCTTGGTAGAAATATCGAAGACCCAGGAGAACCATGTCTGTTCAATGTACACACTACTTGGCTAGACAATTGAACAGATGAAGTTGGAATACAGATGCTCTGTTACTCTTCAGTGTCTGCAGTGTTTATAAGATGCCCTTGCTGCTTTTTAAGAGCTGCAGAGCAGAACATAAACCTTATATTTAAAAGAAAATGAAGTACTGGCATTTATATTCAACAATGGCTTATAAATGCAGATACCCACAGTTGTGCAATCCCAGTTGTGTAAGAGCAATTCAGTGCCCTAGCAACAGCCCAGGCTGCCCTATATCCCAAGATCTGATCCCAGATTATCTGCTTTGAACTGGGTTATATGAGTCTACACCACCAGATAATCTGGGATAAGCAGATAATCTGGGATCAGATCCTGGGATATAGGGCAGTGTAGATCCAGCCTCAGTTTTTCTCAGCAAGCACAACCCTCAAGGAAAAAGGCTGAATCAGTCTCACAGACCATGCTACAGCCTTATTCATTCACTATTTCAATTTATACCCTCACCTTTCTTCCACCAAGTGACCCAAAATTAAAAATACAAGTAGAATGTACATTACAAAGATTGGAAAGCAAACAGCAATAGTTTTACAAACAGTTTGGAGTGCCAAAATGGTTTTGTGGTTTGAGTACTGGACCACAACCCTAGAGACAAAGTTTCCCATCTCTGCTTAGCCATGGATACCCATTGGGTTAGCTTGGGCAAGTGACAGTATCTCAGCCTCAGAGAACAGCAAAAGTAAACACTCTCTGAACAAATCTTGCCAAGTAAACCCCATGCTAGATTTGCTTTAGGGTCATCATAGGTCAGAAACCACTTGCAAGTCATGCAAGAAAAAAAATAATGAAATATAAATCCAGTTTCTCCTGGTTCTCTTCTTCCACTGCTGCACAGGTTGCCACTTTTGGAGGAATGGCGAGGCTTACGTGACGAGCAACTCTCTGAGGTCAGTGGGATCCCTGGCTGTGTCTTTGTGCACTCCAGTGGCTTCATCGGAGGGAACCGCACAAAGGAGGGTGCGCTGGAAATGGCACGAAAGACGCTGGCTCAGCAGATGGAAACTAACTGAAGAGCAATGCATCACCCAGTTGGACTTGTGGCAGTCATTTGTTTTTTGGAGTGCTATAAAATTTTGATTGATTTTTATATTAAAAAACAAACAAAAAAACAAATATTGTTTGTGTGCGATTTGTGTGACATAACAATAAGAGTATTTATACTCTTTTAAGAGTTAATAGCAAACTCTCAAAGTCACAATTACACCGTGAGATAGTGATTAGGGCACCTTTGGGTTTCCATTGGCCATAAATTATTTTGAGGCATTCAACAACAAAAATCACCATAAGAGGAGATGCCTAACTAACACCACAGACAACAGGATCAGGATTCAAAATTATCTTAACAGAACAGAGAGCTGGGTCAAAACTAACACAACGACTAGACATTGAAGGTACTATGCAGCTGAATGAAATGCAGAGATAAAGGGTGGCTGATATGTGACTTTAAAAGAGTTTATGGACCTCATCACACCAGAGAATGAATCCACCTTAAATTCAGTTTCTGCCTCCTGCAGAATTTTGGGGTTTGCAGTTTAGTGAGGCTGTTAAAGGCTCCTCCCTAAACTACAAATCCCAGAATTCTGCAGGAGGCAGAAACCAAATTTAAAGTGGATTCATTCTCTATAGCAGTGGTTCCCAACCTGTGGGTCCCCAGATGTTTTGGCCTTCAACTCCCAGAAATCCTAACAGCTGGTCAACTGGCTGGGATTTCTGGGAGTTGTAGGCCAACAACATCTGGTTGAGAACTACTGCTCTAGTGTAATGAAGGAGTATGTGAAAAGGATCTAGGAGTCTTAGTAGACTACAAGCTGAACATGAGTCAACAGTGTGATGCAACACATTAAAAAGTCAGTGCGATTCTAGGCTGCACTGATAGCAGCATAGTATCAAGATCAAAGACAATCATAATCTCAATCTATTCTGGTTTAGTCAGGCCAACCTAAAATCCTTTGTCCATTTCTGGACACAATTCAAGAAGGATATTGAGAATTTGGAACGTATTCAGAGAAAGGTTATCAAAATGGTAAACTGAAAGGCAAGCCCATTGAAGCAGGCTTGCAGAGGGAAGGGAGGGACTCTTGTGTAAGGGATCTACTGGCACAATGAACTTTTAAAGACGTGTCCATAGCCCTATGTTCCACACAAGCACATCACCAACAAGATTCCAGCAAATGCCCGCTTGAGCTAAATGTGTTCTTGAACCAAGATATTTTCTAAAATGGAGGAGGTAACAGCCAGGGGAAATAGCCTCAGTTAACACATTCTGGCACAATCCAACATCTTAGGATAACATAAGTGCAAGTTGAATTCCTTGTCTGGAATTCCAAAATATTCCAGATACTGAAATCTCCCACATCGTTGCACCTTTGCTTTCTGATTCTTCTGTGTACAGAATATGTGTTCCATACCCCAAAATGTGTATACAATTACTATTGGGTATGTGTATAAGGTATATATGAACCATAAACGAATTCCATGTTTACACTTGAGTGCCATCTCCAAGACATTACATTATGTTCCAAGCATTTGGGATAAGAGACATTCAGCCTGGGTTTACATGGAGAGAGAATTTACAGTAACACTGCAGAACCTTTGCACACAACAGCAACATTGCATAGCACATCAATGATGGTGCCATTAACACAATGAAATCATGTAGCCCATGAGAAATGATATGTTAGACGGTGAAATCAAACTTTTCACGGCTGCTTCTACAGGCAAGGGTTGAAGAACCAGTTGAAGATGCTGGATCCCCCCTTGCCAAAAAGGGGAGATGATATCCTACAAATGGGAGACCTTCCATCTCCAAAGGAGAGAGATTGGATCCAATGTAATTGAATTAAAGCTAGTGAGCAAAGAAATGTATCAGAGTTTAGCCATACCTCTCTCTTTAAGAGTGGCCAAGTCCAGATGTTACCACAGAGAGGGCCTTGTCTGTAGGTGGGGAACATACTAGGCCTGGGTAACAACGGAAAAATTTGTTTCTAAAATCGATTCGTTTTTTTGGGTTTTTTTGCGTTTCGATATTTAAAAGAATTCCGAATTTTTTTAAAAAAAAGAGTTCGATATTTACGAAATTTCGTAAATGGTAAAAAAATTACAAAACAATAACGAAACAATAACGAAACAATTCGTTAATGGCGGACGCGACCGCGCAATACGCTAAAAAACCTCCAAATGGGACAGGGGGAACTTCTGAAGCTTCCCTCTCCCTCTGTTGTTGACTGTTGGTGTGATATTATAATTTTTTTTCACTAATTAAACAAAAAACAACTATAAAACTTGCCCCAGACATGCGGAAATAATAACGAAACGCCCTCAAACCAATAACGAAACAAATACATAACGAAATACGAAGCATTTACGAAACGAATTGAAAAAATTTTAAGTTGCTCCAGAATGGTTCGTTATCGCTTCGTTAACAAAAAAATAACGAATTTTTAACGAATTACAAATTAACGAAACAAAACCGCCCAGCCCTAGAACATACCTCTCCTCTTATTGGAGTTTGGAAACAGGCTTCCTCTTAAAAAAGAGAAGACCAGGCTTTGCATGCTGAAGTCTCCAGGTGCTGTACACACACAAACACCTAAACAATAGCTCTTTTCTAAGTTGCAGCTCTCTAAAGCTGTTTGTTGCATTGTTCGGCTCAACGTCCCTTTTGAAGTTCCACAACCTATGATGCACACAAATAAATGTACACTGCTGTCCTCTCTCATTTTCCTTCTGCCACTCCTCCAGCTGCCGAGTGGGGCAGTCCTTCCCTCCCTCCAGCCAGCCACCCAGCCAGCCAGCTGTGTGTGTGTGTGTGTGTGTCCGTACTGCTCACTCTCTGATGAAAAGCAGAGTCTAGAATAAGAGAGACACTAGATGGGAGGATAGAAACAGGCTGGCACTGTATGAAGGAAACCAGATCAAAGCTGCAGCAACAGTCCCTTGAGCTGCTTTGCTTTCTGCAACCAGGAATATTGACCCAGGAGAGCACTGTTCATACAGGTGTGTTTGGAGCAAAAGAAGAAACTTGGGTTCGTGGGGATTGATTGTAGCTTGGTAGTTCTTCATTTGTTTGTTGGCTGAATTCTGGTGCATTGAATTGCTGCAAACATTGAGCAGACAATACTTTCTTGAGCATGTTCTTTTATCTAGCCAGAGATTTGATAGCATAGCAATTCAGTGGAGGGGAAGAGGAAGGTGAGACCATGTGGTCCTCTACATGTTGTTTGAGTTTTTTTTCTATCCCATAGACATCCTCTATGGATAGGGATTATCATTATCATCATCATCATCATCATCATCATCATCATCATCATCACATCTCAAATTTCCTTCAAGATTGGGAATATCTGGAGGGTCCTTCATTCCTTTGTCACCATTTAGCAGAAACTCCTGTTTGGAGTTCACAAGTTTGTGTTAACAAAAGTATCGGGGTAAAGGAAGGGGAGAGAGATGGAATGAGATGAGACAGAGACTTGTACAGTTTCTTGTGACTTTCATGGGGAAAATCCAATCTGATTGTTGTGCATTTTATAACCAGAACTCCAGCTGAAAACTCAGGAACCCTAACTGGAACTTCAAGCAGGTAAGTTGTCTGGTCATGAAACTGACTGCAAACTAATACTCTGTTCTGAATGTTTTGGTAGTGTTCCTAGTCAACCCCTTTCTGGAAAGATGCAACCAAGCAATACTAAGTACCAGACAGACTTTACTTAGAGTTAATCTAGATTAATTTAGGCTTGCTGAATCTAAATTCTGTTTCTTGCTTGAATCCCAAAATTCACCAGCTGGAACCAGATGCTTCACAATTAGCGTGTTCTGAGCCAAATAACTTGTTTTGAGTATTAGACCTACCAAAGTGACTCATAGTTCTTTCACACAGTAAATCACTCTAACTGGCCTTTATTTTAGGTTGTCTGCATTATTGCTGCTGTTACTAAATGCACAACAATCAGAAGTAGATTGGATTTTTCCCATGGTGTGAAAAGACAAATTAGATGACTCTAGTGTGAAAGCCACAAGAATCATCTAGAAGTCCATTAATAGCTCTCAGTCTAACCCAGGCACAATTTGGACTAGACAGAAGCAAATGATAATTGGGTTCTTGCCTCTCATATTGAATTGTGCAGAAGAGCTGTTTGAGCAAGTGATGGTAGCATGCAACATATCCCTGTTATCATTTCAATTTTCTATTTGTTGTTATTAATTTCCATTAGATTGATTTTGACTATGGTGACCTTGTAAATGACACCTTGTTACCAACAGCTTTTCTGTCTCCCTGTAATGCGGTCCTCCTCTTTTCCTACACTATTCCATTTTACTGAAAATTATTGTATTTTCCAGTGAGTCGAACACTCTGTATGACCATATTTTATACCACTGGTTAAATTTGCAATTGCAAATTTAGTCAAATTATTTGCTTTCTATAGAGTCTCAGGGCCCTTCCACACAGCCATATAACCCAGAATATCAAGGCAGAAAATTCCACAATATCTGCTTTGAGCTGGATTATCCGAGTCCACACTGTCATATATTCCAGTTCAAAGCAGATAATGTGGGATTTTATTCAACTGTGTGGAAGGGCCTCATTTAGAACAGAGACTGATGCAGAAGCACAAGTGAGGAATGGCTCCAAGCATGACTATTTCTTACCCATCTACACTCAGAGTACAGTTTTGGGGCGTGAGACTGAAGTGTGCCTCCAGTTTTAATTCTGAAACTAAAACAATATGTCAGCTGTCAAGGGTTTGGGGGACATTTTTGGGCTAACGGACCAGGGTGATGGGTAGGTGGAAATGGCCTAGACATTTTGGTGGGTCTTAAATAGCAACGCGATCTTTAGAAAGCAGCATGACACTTGGTCATAAAAAGGATGAGAAGCAGGCATGAATATGAAGCTGCCACGGAAGTCATAAGAGCAGGGACTGCGTACGCTATATGGGAGTATTAGCGCCAGTATAAAGTGAATAAGTTGGATACTAGTACTTGTTCTCCTTGCGGACATTTGTAAACTGCATTTTCCTTTACCTTGGGAATGTCTGGGAGGATAGAAAGGGAAAAAATTAAATTCAAGTAATATAAACATTCTGTTTCTTAATGAGACTGGGTGTGTGCAAGGCAGGGATTACACATTGTAATATTATTCTTGTACAGTGTAGACTTCTGAGTCACATTGACTTTATCATTGTGTCCTGCTTTGTAAGACTTGTGTATGATATCCCTCATTAGACTTTTCCCTCAGCTTTTCCCCTCCTGCTCAGTTTTTATAGGGCTCTTGTTTGAGTTGGAGGCCCTGGTTTTATGGTGATTTCTTAAAACAACAATACGTCAACTATAGAGTCAAATATACACTCACCCTTTTCATACACTGCTAAATCCTAAGGGTATAAACAACGAATTGAAAATGGGTAACCTAGCAGGGGATAGCTCTGCTAAAACAATGCTGTTAAAACATATAGGATGGTAGATGCAAATAAGTAAAAGACATTTCTTTTGCAACTCTCTTCTCCTTACCCAGAAATAAACCTTAGTGGAATTAAGTAAGTGTCTTTGGAACAGACACGTCAATTAAAATAAGTAAACTTGGGAGAGGAGGCACAGAGAGAGAGAGTCGGAGACAGAGATGATATTTAATATTTTGCAACATCTGGAAGGCCACATGATCTGATAATTCCTGTAAACACATGAACATGTGCCTCTGATCATGACATAAAGCGAGATCTAAAATTTGGAGACCAACCAGAAAAAAAAACACAGATGATTATAAAAGCTACATCCTGATATTCATCATGTAAGTAAGATAGAGGAAAAGGTTAGGACAGAAGGAAGAGTAGAATAACTGTACATGTGACCACTGTTATAACGGCTAGATTATCAGGGCTGATATTGTAATGACTAGATTATCATTTTTGAAGTACTGTTTCTCATTTTCACGTCCAGAGGCAGCCTGTAAACTGAACTGAGATGCCCTATTAGCGCTGCCTTATAGAATGTTCCTATGAGATAGGTTAGATCAGTGGTTCTCAACCTGTGGTTCCCCAGGTGTTTTGGCTTACAACTCCCAGAAATCCCAGCCAATTTATCAGCTCTTGGGATTTATGGGAGATGCAAGGCCAAAACACCTGGGGACCCACAGGTTGAGAACCACTGGGTTAGATGAAGCCATACTGAATTTTTAAAGAGAAATATTATTGAATCAATTCCTGCAAAATCTGCCCCAGATGCTAAGATAGAAATAGGGAAGCATTGGCTTTCCAAACAGTATGGACTTCAAATTCCAGAAGCCTTATCCAAATTAGGCCAATGGTAAAGCATGATGGAAGTTGTAGGGCAAAACACCATGAATTCCCTGCCCCTGTGCTCAAAGGACTTTTCTCCCATTCATTTGCCTCCACAGTTTGCACTTGATTTTTTGCTCTTGGATGAGGCTCTCACCCTTTCTTCTGACTTTCCCACCAGAAGAGAAGAGCTATGCAGAGATGCCAGCTTTGTCCACCCTCCTGCTCCTGATTCTTGCCTTTCAAGGCACTCTTCCGTGCCCCGAAAGCTGCGACTGTCCGCCAGAGAGTGGCGTGGTGTGGTGTAACCAAAAGGACCTGGTGATGATCCCCCTTGATGTCCCTCGCGACACACGTGTTCTTTATCTCAACTCAAACTGGATCACCCATATACCAAACGGAGCCTTCCATGGCCTGAAACAGCTCCGTGAACTTCACCTCGCAGACAATCTCATCCAGACCATTGCTCCAGCAGCCTTTCGGGGTCTAAGTGGGGGACTCAGGCTGCTGGACCTATCGGGCAACCAGTTGCAGAGGATGGAGGTGACTCCCTTCATCATGCTGACATGGGTTCGACTGGAGCTTTATGACAACCCCTGGCACTGTGACTGCCCCTTGCAGGAACTGATGAGGTCTCTTCCCTTGGACCCTGAAACAGTGGAGGACATTGTGTGTGCCACTGCCACTTGGGAGGAGTACACAGGCCAGGCCCTGGCCCATTTGCTCAACTCGGGTGTCAACTTCTGCCTGAGCCAGCAGAGGAACACCGACTTGGCTATGCTGCTGACTATGTTCTGTTGGTTCACTGTAGTAATCTCTTACGTCATCTACTATGTCCGACGTAACCAAGCAGAGTCACGCCGTCACTTGGAGTATCTGAAGTCCCTGCCCCTGCCTAGCAAGCAGTCAAGCCCTGAGGATGAGGAGGAGGAGGAAGACGACACTCTCAGTACCATCCTATGAGGACTGGAGTTGTCTAAGGTGGAGTTACAAAACAAATTCACATTTGAGGTGGGAATTGCATGATACATATAAACCATTTCAAAACATCATAAACATGTTTTTAATTGTTTTGGAAACAAAATTTTTAGGGCAGATTCTGCCCTCCATGACAAAGATCATCCACAGATGATCTCAGCAACTGTCTCAAGACCCATGTAAACTTAAGAATTTTGTGCAGCTTGGAGTGGAATCACGTGGCCCTTCAGGAGTAGAAATCATGCAGCTCTCCATCATGTTGTTGGACTGCCACTCCCAATGCTCCTCGCTATTGATCATTGCTGGCTAAAGATGTTGGGTGTTGCAGTCCCAACATCTGGAGAGCTGCATGATGCCCACTCCTGGTCTCCATTTTGTAAAATATGGGGGCATCCTTGGTGGTGATAATAATCGCTGCCTATTATTGCTTGAATATACTGTGGGGATAATAAACACAGCACAGAACAACAATTCCCAGCATTCCTAATCCAGAGCCAAGTCTTGCTATATTAACCCCAGGCTCCAGTGCTCCATGGGACAATTAATCTACTCAAGGTTTTAGTCTGAAGTTCAAATGTGCTCTTCAAAGTGTTGAATGTATTCTGGAATGGGCCTCAGCACCTTAGATTGCTACTTTAAAGTTCATGTTAAACCCCAGGACAGATTAATTGTTCTATTGACCTGGAATCCATCGACCTCCACAGGCCAATCTCTTCATGGTTTAGCCCAATATAACCTCCTTATCATCACAACCAACTACTGGCTACTGCAGATGATGGGAGTCATAGCATTGAGAGGGGCACCAGATTAAGAAATGCTGCCAAATGCCAGTCCTCAGCTATAGACATTTCATCATTTAATTTAATTTTTCCTTCAGCTGTATTGAGAAGGTTCAACTTAGGTACAAGCCTCGTATTATCTAGAAATATATAAACAATTTAACATAAATTAGAGCAAGAGAAAAAAAGTAAAACAACAAACAATGACAAGAGTAGTTTATCTAATAAAAGTAAGTTAGACTAACCTTTTCTCACTACTGAAATTTCAAGGTATTTTATGAACAACATGTTGAGGTAGCCTGGGCTGGGACCGGTGATTAAACACTTAATTTGTCAATTTTCTACTTTTGCCTATTGTTTATTGTCTGGAATTTTGCAAAATAAACCAAGTATTTTGTTGCCTTCCACCCTGATCTACTTGTTGACAGACTCAATAATAATCTTTCCTGGTTCCTTCCACAAAGAAGTCATCTTAAAATCCCATGCTGGCAAACATGAAATCTGGGAATTTGGACTCCAAGCTAAAAATCAACTGTAGGTGATCACAGTGATTCATGATCTTTATGGACCTCCAAGTGGGAATTACTTGGCTTTCCAGATATTCTTGGACTGCAACAGGGAATGCTTCCCACTATTGGCCATTGCTGGTTAAGGATGATGGGAGTTGCAATCCTATAAATGGAGTCCTGCACGCTACATAGTCTATTTTCTAAAATATGAGGGTGGTTTTGGTGATGACAGCAATCGCCATCTACTACTGCTTGGACTTACCATGGAGATAAACCCACAGTAAGTGGCTAAACATCTTTCTTGCTGATCCCAATTTTTCCCTGAAGCTTTTCCTCTTGATTAAGTCTTCCTTTCCCTTTCCTCGAGGGCTGCAGAATAGCCTCCTCGCAGCCACTGTTTCACATTCCAGGGAGATATGGCTCAGAAATAGGGATTCATGTTATGGGCCTTCAAGTCATTTCCAACCTATGGCGACCCTGAGGTGAAACTCTCATAAGGTTTTCTTAGCAAATTTCTTCAGGAGAGATTTGCTATGGCTCTCCTCTGAATACCATCCCCCCCCCCCCTTCTCGGAAAGTGTTCCATGCTATTTAGCTGTGCCAAGAGAGACAAAAACAGAACAACAACAACAGCTCTTTTAGTTCTATCCATATCCCTTGATTGGGTGACTCTGGCCTCAATCCTATTGCTACTCCTGACTAGAAAAGAGCCATTGAGTCAATGAGATTGACTCCCCATTCAACAATTTTATTGATTTTATAGTTTACTGTAACTGGGACTAACCAATAGGATTCCAGTCACTGTCTGGGGCCATTCACACTACAGAATTATGCTGCTATAATTCCACATATAATTCCACTTATAATTCCACTTGCTGACCAAAAGATCAATGGTTTGAATCTGGGGAATGGGGTTAGCTCCTGCTGTTAGCCCCACCTTTTGCCAACCTAGCAGTTCAAAAACATGCAAATGTGAGTAGATTAATGGGTACCACTCCAGCAGGAAGGTAATGACACACCATGCAGTCATGCTGGCCACATGACCTTGGAGGCATCTATGGACAACTGCAGCTCTTTGGCTTAGAAATGAAGATGGCCACCATACCCCAGAGTCGGACACAACTAGATTTAATATCAAGGGGAAACCTTTACATTTACCTTTACTTCCACTTAATCTGCCATAACTGTGTCCCTAAGAATGATGGGGTGGGGTGGAGATGCAATTTATTCATGGGTACGAGAGATGTTTCTTGGTTGAGGATTGTACAGGAGACACTCCACTTTTTCTGGAGTTTGGGGCATAGGATCCCTGCAAAAGTGTAAAAAATATCTGCGAATTATAAAAAATAACTGTTACTTTTACCTGCGAGGCCACTTTTCTAGGCATGTCTAGGTTCTCTAGAATGACTCTATGTCAAACTCTGGCAGAAAATGATCATAGTATCTCACTGGAGAACCTAGACCAGGCATGGGCAAAACTTCAGCCTTTGAGGTGTTTTGAATTTCAACTCCCACAATTCCTAACAGGCAGTAAACTGGTTGGGATTTCTGGGAGTTGAAGTCCAAAACACTTGGAGAGCTGAAATTTGCCCATGCCTGGCCTAGACATTTCTAGAGAGAACATATTAATAAAAGCTGTGAATAATCAAATCCATAAAAGTAAAATTCACAAATGTGAAGGACCGACTGAAAATGCCTTTGAGTGCCCATCCAATAATTCCATAGGATAGAACATGGAAGTTAAACTGGAATCGTAGTGCTATAATTGGGTTGTGGGAAGGCTTGCACCAATTCCTCCATAGCTACCCAGTAACTCACTGAAAGAGGAGTCAACCTTAGTCAGTCATCATGAAGCCCAAAACAATTCCTTAAAAACTACATAGGTGCGCATATACCTCCCAGTTGTCATCATCACTACCATCATCTGTTTTTCACAACGGCAGGCTGCATAGTTAGACCCAGTTGACTGGGAGGCCTCCAATTTATCCCTTCCCATTTGCCAAGGATTTAGGCAGAGATGTTATAGCTTAATGCTAAGGGATTACCAGGGAAAACAATCATAAATCCCTCTCTTTTAATCCTTTATTTTCCTGCAGAGATGCTCCCACCCCATCTGCGCAACTACAGCCACTTTCCTTTGACTGCCTCCTTCTCTTCCCTTTGCACCACTCCCTGCAACCGATGAGCCTCAATCTAATTTTGGATGTCCACTGCAAGCCCTCCATTCAGATGGTTGGCAGACACATACATACATAGAACTGAAAGAAACCATGAAGGCCATCCAATCCAACCCCTGCTATGCAGAAATAAAAAAACGCTCTCACTCCCCAAGCATTCTAGGAGGCAGAGAGGAGGTAAAAGAGAAAAAGAGATAGAAGAAGCAACAGAAAGAAAGAGAAAAGGGAAGAATAGGGTGTCCCTAACCAATTTAGTTCTGGTCCTGCCTAGCACTGGGTGGGACACCAACCTTGCATCACATAGTGGCAAAAACCTACTGCCCTTTATAGTGCTACAGATCCACTTCAGTTACTTCGGCTACAATACTAAAAATCTAAAGTTATGGAAAGAGCCTTGAGACTCCTCAATCAGGGAGCTCTAGTGCCCCGTCAAACGGCAAATCCCGATAGGATATGACTATTCAAGTTAAATCATAGCATTATAACTGACATGAAAGGGCCCTAGCTTCCATTCATAACAAATACTGCCTTTTTCTTATTGCTGTATCCCTATCTCAGCCACCCATGTGGACGGTTTTGACTGTTTAAACATTTCCAAATTCTAGATCTGGGATGCTCATCTTGTATTTCAGAAGGAACTAGCAAAAATGCTTCTGGGTATTCCTTAGTTAACAAAATCCTATGAAATTCATGGGGGTCATCATAAGTCTACATGTAACTCGAAGGCAAACTCACACACATACACAATGTATTTCCAAACACGTTTCTCTTATTTACACATTATTTCCGTTCTAATGTCTTAGGCTAGATCTAGGATGTGTAGCCCATGGCGCTCCATATTCTGTTGGACTACAACTTTTATCGTTGCTAACCTTCAGATGGGATGATGGAAGGTGTAGTCCAACACTGCAGGATAGGAACTAGGTTAGCAGAGGCAAGAGTTGGATCTCTTGAAGCAGAACAAGCAACCCAAAATAAGATTGATCTTACACCTACAGGACATGCAAAAGATGAATATGGTTGGAAATGTATTGCATGGATGACATCAATATCTGTTGGTCACAATAGCTTTGCTATGTGGAAGTAGTGGTTGGGAGCATGCCTGTACCTAGCTTTTAGACTTTCCAGGGGTATATATTTCCTAAACTCTCAAAGCAAACAGATCAAATGCATTTGCAGGCCAGGGCCCTTCTGGGATAATTGATATACATACCATACCATTGCCTTTAACTTGGAGCCCATGAGGTGGCATCTATGATGTGGTTCCCAACCTCTGGTCCTCCAGGTGTTTTGGACTTCAACTCCCAGAAACCTCAGCCAGCTTACCAGCTGTTAGGAATCATTGTAGCTGAAGTCCAAAACACCTGGAGGACCAAAGGTTGGGAACCATTGCTATTGACAGTAGCCAATTGTGGAAGGTGAATTATTTGAACACAATTATGATGTATTTATTCATATATATGCATTAATGTGGTGATTCATTCTAATTGTTTCATTTGCTTATAGATGCATTTCACAGGGCATAGTCCATGAAAGTTGAGAATTGAACAAATCTGTTAACAGGTATAGCTGCAGTTGCCAATTTAAAAACAATCTGGCCTGGTTTTCTGGGCATCACACATCATTATAATCTCTGGTTAATGTCTACAGATCTCATTTCTGCTGAAGGCACTGGAGAGGGCCTGGTAAGATAGCCATCCAGTTGCGAACCAGTTCTTCTCCATGCAACTCACTTCCTTCAGATCAAACCAAATTACACTCAATAGTCCATGTCCTGCTCAATAAAGATAGATCTAATTTATCTTCTGAAAGCCACCGGTGGCGTAGTGGGTGAAACCCTTGTGCTGGCAGGACTGCTGACTGACAGGTCAGTGGTTTGAATCTAGAGAGAGTGGGTCGAGCTTCCTCTGTCAGCTCCAGCTCCCCATGCAGGGACATGAGAGAAGCCTCCCACAAGTATGGTAAAACATCAAACATCTGGGCGTCCCATGGGCAACATCCTTGCAGACTGCCAACTGTCTCACACCAGAAGTAACTTGCAGTTTCTCAAGTCGCTCACGACACAAAAACGAAAATCTTCTGAATGCAGTGCAAGGTGCTGTGCTGGAAGGAGGGGTTATTTTCATCACTGGATATTTTAGATGTTGCCTTTTTATAGAAATAGCTCCTAAAATGTAATTAGGTCCTTCATGTGTCTTTGGAAAGACAGAAAGCAAATATCCAAAAATAAAATGTATTAAATCCAGTAATGGAATGTGCCCTTTCCTTCCAAATATGCTTTTAGCGATCTTTCACAGAAGACTGTTCAATTTCGGGCCTCAGATTTCATCATTTCTGCTTATTCCCAAGCAGAAATTCTACTGCTCAGGTCTTTGAAGTCACTTAACAGAGTATTTATAAGATAAGAATTCAAAGTCTTTGCTTCTTGTCTGCAAGGCAGAGGTTATCTGCTGCCTTTTCCTCTTAAAACTCTCTTTCTCTGTAAGGACTATGTCTGTGCCGGAGAGGACACGTTTCTGTAATTACATTCTAATAATGTATAAGGCAACAGGAGGCATAAGGAGTACTACATGAGCCCTTAGCAAAGACTGCTGTCATTTTCTGTGCTGCTTAGGATTGTTTGTTGTTAATTTGTTCAGTCGTTTCCGACTCGTGACTTCATGGACCAGTCCACGCCAGAGCTCCCTGTTGGTTGTCTCCACCCCCAGCTCCTTCAAGGTCAATCCAGTCACTTCAAGGATACCATCCATCCATCTTGCCCTTGGTTGGCCCCTCTTCCTCTTTCCTTCCATTTTCCCCAGCATCATTGTCTTCTGTAAGCTTTCCTGTCTTCTCATGATGTGGCCAAAGTACTTCATCTTTGCCTCTAATATCCTTCCCTCCAATGAGCAGTCAGGCTTTATTTCTTGAAGTATGGACTGGTTGGGTCTTCTCACTGTCCAAGGCACTCTCAGCACTTTCCTCCAACACCACAGTTCAAAAGCATCTATCTTCCTTTGCTTAGGGTTACTTGCCACCAAACACCATGTGGAAGCCATGGCATGATCCTCATCTCAGATGGAGACTGTCCTGTTGTGTATGCTGCTGCTCTACCTTCAAGTTGGACCTATGGTGATCCTTCCTCAAGAATTTCTTGTAAATATTTGTTCAGATTTCTTTCCTTTCCTTTGAACTTGAGAATATGACCCAGCAGGTTTCCCTGGCTGATGGGGATCCAAATGGTGGTCTCCCATGAGCAAAGCACTGCACCATTCCAATTCCTTATGTTGTCTATAGACATCCACTTATCCATCCTTTTTAGAGAAATACAAGAATATATGGGGGTAGGTGCTTCAACTGCAGAGTGGCAAATAGAGGTGGGCTGGCCTAAAATACCTTATTCACCCAGCCACAGGTGCAGATCATCTCAAGCCAGTACTTGGGTACAAGAGGCAGACAATCTCACCAACACCCATATCATTAATGAGGAGAAAAGTATAATACGCCAAAACAAAACAAAAATCTCACTTGCTGACTTTTTATGACATCCAAGATCCTTTGGCTGATGCAATCTTCTCATTACAAATGGTAGGGCTGGTTTTGGTAACAAAATGTTCCTGATCCCTAGTTCACACTCACTGGCAATAGCTATTCAGGGTTTTGGAGAGGAAAGGGTAGAGCCGGTATCTTCTACCTAGGCTCTACCCTTTCAACCTCTCACCCACCTTCCTCCTCTCTTTCACATCAGCACACATATGCCAATGATGACAGGTCTCTTCTCTCTGGAGAATGAAATTCAAAGAGAAACGAAACAACCCATAAAAGAACTACCGGAATTAGCAACAGAATTTTACTTGGAAATAATTTCTAAACAAATGATACATCCAAATTCCAAATACATAAGAGCACTCAAAGTGTCCACAAGTGGAAAAAAGCAGCCTGTAGGGATAGGACTAAGATTGTTCATAATTCGGATTTCGGTTTCTGCTTCAAACAAAGTTGTCTCTTTCAAACAGGTGGGCAGGCATTCTTCGGGTGCAAGAAAGTAACTATCAATAGGTGGCAGTAGGCACCCACCAGGCAATGCGTTTGTAGTCACAGTGCTCTGAAGAAAGGTCCATCCCAAAAAGTCATCACTCTTCAAAGATCTCCCACTTTCTTGAGCAAAAAAAGACAGTCAGAGGCTGGACCTTCACAGCTCTGAAAACAAGGGCTGCTCCCGGGCGCTGCTTCTACTGCCCAAGGTAACAAGGGGACTTTGCTCAGATGTAAATGATGGAAACTGGGCAGTCACAAAGAAGAAGGGAATATGGCTGATCTTTCCAGTTGACCAACACTGGGAAGGAGAGAGAAAGAGAAAGCAGCTTGAGAAGGAAGTATTGGCATACACTGTGCAAGCCCTCACTGGCAGTCACAGAAGGAGATCCTAGAACAAGACATGTCATTCAGTAGTTAAATGCCCAACATTTGCTACTGGCACAGAATTATGGTGTAAACTCGGCACCAAGAGTTCCTGTAATCAAAAAATTCTGCTTCTTCCAAAATGTGCATACATATGTTCCTTTATGTCATTTAATCTGATCCTGATAGTTGCAAGGAGCTCGGCGTGTCTGGCCTCTTCAGTATAAATCATAACTATTTTTCCTATAGCATTACTTCACAGACTGTATGCCAGGCATGTCAGAATGCCATGAAATAAAATACCTAGTATGTCATCTATATAAATAAAAATGTAATGTTCGTTTGTGGGGTTAACATAACTCAAAAACCACTGGACAAACTGACACCAAATTTGGACACAATACACCTATCAGGCCAACAAGTGATCATCATTCATAAAAACACTGAAAAACACAACAGAAGAGACTTAAAAAGCAAAAAACAACATTACAGCGCATGAACAAAACCATATGTATATACACAAACAGACATATAAACACACACATATACACACACAAAACACATATACACAGACTGGGCCACAGCAACACATGGTAGGGGATGGCTAGTATAAAATATAATGATAACAAGTCCTTAGATAACCCAGAAGAAGCTTCCCTATTGGAAAGTTCTGTCTAGGATAGCCACCTTTTCACCAAATATCTCAAGAAATACATTCAAATCTGGCTTTGCATTCAGAGCAGCTAAGTTTATTTAGCATTTTAAGGGGATGTGACCGATTCCCAAAGAAGGCACAATTTTTTTTCATCTCTGTATGAGTTGCTTCTAATAATGCAACTCATACAGATTCTGTGATCTCTGTAGAAACACAGGGATTGGCCTGCACTTGTGGTTTGGGCTACTTATACTATTTAATATACTGTACAGTCCTATACCTATGGGGAATACATTCCTGAACTTACAATAAAAATAAGAAACCTTGGATACGAGCAAAGTAGTTAAAATGAACAATTTCAACTGGAAGTTTAATAGAGTTACCCTGGAGCACCTAGAAAATTGCTTGGTCCTCCAGGCTGACTCTATGGTAATTCCCAGTAGAATCGTTCAGAGGATTTGAAAAATTCCTACACATAACTTATTTTGTTAGATACAGGTAGGTGAAATACAGATACTGGGGTCGTATGGCAACCCTTTCTAGCCATGAGAATGAAATATGTTTTCTCTTTCGTTTCGGGCAAAAAAATAATGGTATGCCTCAGCTACCAACCGTCTGTGAAAAAGTGGCTTACAGACTGGAAGCATGTTTTTAAGAAACAACTGAGATTGTTGAGTTGCTGAATTCTGTACCTTGTCCAAGAATACCAATAACTCAGTCTAGCAAACAGACAAGACACCATGACGCTATGACAGCAATAAGCAATAGCTAGCATTCCTATAAGCTACACCTGAGCTGGGAGCTTGAACTCACCACTGTCAGCAGAGCTCCTCTCTTAAAACAAGGGTGGAAAGCCATTAGCTGTGGATGTGCCCCATCTTCACCCTGCAAGAAGCCACTGGGGACAAAAAAAGACATGCCGTAACTGTAAAAGACAATCAGAGGTTTCAATGATGCTGATGGTCTTACTGTATCACAAGCTGTTTATAAGACCATTCCTCTACTTACCTATACGCCCCAAATTCAGTAACTATCCTAAGTATTTTGTGTTTTTTTTTAATTCTAGAGTCTGCCCAAATATTTTCCAACTCTCCACAAACAGCCAAAAATACCATGTTACTTCAATAAAGCCTTGACTTCTACCATTTTCATGATAACAGGAATTGATTCTGGTATTCTTTTACAGCATATGCTTTAGACGATGCTGCAAATAATTTTAGACACTGTAATGTACCTCAAGAGACCAGATATAAATATCTGAAGAAGATAAAATAGGTTTTGTTCCCTGATTACAGACATTTCAAATCTGTACAAATCTAATCAAGTAAACAAAACAGTCCAGACAAAAATAAGTAGTTCACTTTTCTTTTGTATGGAGCAGGCTCATATCACAGTATCTTGACACAAACTGTATACAGCAGTGGTTCCCAACCTTTTTCTGACCAGGGACCACTTTGGCCAGGGGCCACTCTCCAATCTTAGTACCCAAAGGGTTACAAATCAGCTTTTTGTCAACTTCAGATTTGGTTTGGTTATTTGAGGTGCTGATTCAGAAAATGGCATTGGATAGACCACATCGGCTCTAGTTTCTGATACAGAAGATATGCTACCCAGTAGTTGCCATCTGCTCACCCACAGAAAACTATATTTAATAATCTAGAGCTGATGTTTATTGTTGTTCATTCATTCAGTTGTCTCCGATTCTTCGTGACCTCATGGACCAGCCCACGCCAGAGCTCCCTGTCGGCCATCACCACCCCCAGCTCCTTCAAGGTCAGTCCAGTCACTTCAAGGATGCCATCCATCCATCTTGCCCTTGGTCGGCCCCTCTTCCTTTTACCTTCCACTTTCCCCAGCATCATTGTCTTCTCTAGGCTTTGCTGTCTCCTCATGATGTGGCCAAAGTACTTCAACTTTGTCTCTAGTATCCTTCCCTCCAATGAGCAGTCGGGCTTTATTTCCTGGAGGATGGACTGGTTGGATCTTCTCGCAGTCCAAGGCACTCTCAGAACTTTCCTCCAACACCACATTTCAAAAGCATCTATCTTCCTTCTCTCAGCCTTCCCTAAGGTCCAGCTCTCACATCCGTAGGTTACGACAGGGAATACCATGGCTTTGACTATCTTTGTTGCCAGTGTGATGTCTCTACTCTTTACTATTTTATTGAGATTGGACATTGCTCTCCTCCCAAGAAGTAAGCGTCTTCTGATTTCCTGGCCTAGTAAGTAGTCATCTTTTGTGGGTAGTCAGCTTCTCCCCTCCCGACATCCCCGTTGCCTCGGCACTATAAGAGGGCTTCACAAGACCAGTTGCTCTCATTGCCGCTTCTTTTTTGAGGCAACGGTGTAGTAATGGTGAGGCGGTGGACCATATTTTCATTCTTGGGGACGACTGATAGTCCATGGACCACAGGTTAGGAACCACTGGTATACAGAGAGGCTGGGAGGAGGAAGAATCTATGTTTTAAGATGTCTCATTGAATTTGTATTTTCAAAGCATTAAAATAGCATTTTTTTACATAACAGGATAACAATAAAATGTCTCAAGAATAATATACAACCATCAATAAGCATTACTGCCATTAAAACAATGGCCACACAGTTAGGGAAAGATTTTATGTCAAATAGTTTTACAATACAGTCCAATGATCCCAGGTCTATTGGACAGTGTCAGTGTCAACTACCCTATGTGTATACAGATGGGTAGTAGTGATGATCTCTACTTATGGATAGCAGGAGATCTTCAAAGTCTTGTTTTTCTATTTGTACTACCCAAGATGCTTTACACTAGAAATAGCAATGTATTGATCTGGACTATCTGTATTCAAAGCATACACTCCTCTATGGAACTACATGGCTCGAGCTGGATAATTTAGAAGCCTGGAAAAAAACTGCCCCCCCTTTTTTTTAAAAAAAGACATGCTTCTAAGCTTAACGGATTCAAATAAGCTTAACATGAGAGTGCCTGCCCTATGTCTCCACTCAAAGGTGGGTGGGATCAACCAGATTATCAGTGTTCAAAGCTCCAGGGCCTTACATTGCATCACTCTCAACTTATGCATTCTGTTCAACATCTAAAATTGGAAAATCTCAATGAGAATGTTGTCATTTTGCACCTGGGCTAAGGGGAAACACTTCAGCAATCCCGCCTGCTCCCCCAGAGAAATCGGTAATGCTCAAAATGTTGATATCTATAGTATAAGACCCAAGAGAATGTGAAACGTATAGATTTATTTCTAACCCAAGAGCAAACATTCCATGAAAACATAGCAATACAAACCAGGGCAAGAGTTCAAAAACAGGGCTGTTGCGGGTGCGAAATACTGCAATGATGCTCCGGTTGTTGAGAGAATCACGACTCCCTGCCAAAAGAGAAACAAAAGGTAAGAAATTGTGACATTTACAGGAATCCTGTAGGTGGGATGACAGGCAGGACATAAAATAAATGAAAGAAACAGTCAACAGCATACAGTAAAGGTTTCCCCGACATTAAGTCTAGTTGTGTCCAACTCTGGGGTTAGTGTTCATCTCCATCTCTAAGCCAAAGAGCCAGTGTTGTACGTAGACACCTCCAAAGTCACGTAGCCGGCATGACTGCATGGAGCACCGAAGTGGTACCTATTGATCTATTCACATTTGCATGTTTTCGAGGCTGGGGTTAACAGCGGGAGCTCACCCTGCTCCCCAGAATCGAAACGCCAACCTTTCAGTCAGCAGTTTAACCTGCTGTGCCACCAAAGACTTGCAAATTCTGCTCTTCTAAGCTTATAGTGTTTAAGATGTAAACAATCTTTGGCAGATAATTCATCCAGTAAACTTTCAAGCATTTCTGACACCTGCTCTTTCTGTGCTGAAATTGGCAAAAGATTGCTAAAGCTGGGATAGGCTTTAAAACATGCCTGAAAAGTCAGTGCCAAGATTGTGAAATTGCTGTATGAAATGCTGGTCTCTAGTAATTTGGACAGTTCAATGCCTCTGAAGTTCACAGGGCTTTTGCCTGATCTCCTAGCCCTTGAATGGTCAGAATCAAACTGGTCCAGTTTGAGCTAGAAATGGAGAGAATTGTATCTGTATCTTATTAGGAAGAAGCCATGGCTGTTTCTTCCCAAAGGACAGGTGGCCTTGAAAGAAAGAAACAGCATGTTTTCAGAAAAAAGGAATTCTGCAGGGAAGTACTAATGTGGCTGCAACTAGTAGACCTTTTAAGGATATCAGAGTTTTTGGTCTATTATCTGCATGCACACCTCACTGGAGAAAGTGGAAAAACCAATTTTACCTTGAGATGAAGTAGGTTAGTCAATGATTTGTGTGATTATTATTGCTTTCATCCTTGTGGAGATTATTGGATGTTTATCTGGATGGCAGGCTCTCATTTTTATAATGTAGTTTATTCTGAGCTTTGCTGATACAACAAAAGAGCACGCAGACACATCTACCTTTTGGTTACAACATGTTATAAGCAAGACCTGGGAGGATGCATGTAACTGGGTAAGCAGCCCCCCCCCCCCCCCCATATATACTACCAGCAGGAACAAGGTCACTTTTTATGGCATCGTTCTGAATGATTCATTAATAATAATAAAGCTTTATTTATATCCTACCACCATCTCCCTGAAGGGCTCAGGGTGGCTCACAGAAAGCACTCAATAGTGCAACAAAATACAGAAAAGTAAAAAATTAATAACAATAAAATTGACCCAGTTATACTTAAAACAGCAATAAACCCCCTATTCATGTAGGTGGCACCGTGTGTTAAAGTGCTGAGCTGCTGAGCTTGTTGACCGAAAGGTTGCAGGTTCGATTCCAGGGAGTGGCGTGAGCTTCCGCTGTCAGCCCTCGCTTCTGCCAACCTAGCAGTTCGAAAACATGCAAATGTGAGTAGATCAATAGGTACCGCTCCGGCAGGAAGGTAACGGCGCTCCATACAGTCATGCCGGCCACGTGATCTTGGAGATGTTTATGGACAACACCAGCTCTTCGGCTTAGAAATGGAGATGAGCACCACACCCCAGAGTTAGACATGACTGGACTTAATGTCAGGGGACAACCTTTACCTTTTTTAATGTAAAAGATACTATAAAATCCAGCAAGCTACAAAAATAGCAGCTGTGTACAATATCAGTCCCCATAAAGTGCAGAAGTGAAGCAACTCACGAAACTGGGTGAAAGCTCTATCGAATTGCCAGGGGGAACACACTTCTAAGTAAATATGCACAGAATTACACTGTGAACATCCAAATAGAAGTATAGCAAGGCCCCCCATAGCCACAGAGATATATTCTCAACTGGAAGCAGAAACTGCAGCCTGAATATTGTGTTACTGCAACAAACCACTCTTCATCAACTCTTTCTTGTTCCCATGCTTTTCAGAAAAGGCCTGATTTGGAATTGCATTTTAGACACATTCAATAAAGACTCAGCCTGGATGGACACACACACACCCCTCTCCCTGAAGCATCAGCTTTAGAGAGAATTATAAGATGCTTTTAAATGCAGATTACAGAAGAGTTATTTTAAGCCCTCGAAGTGCACGCCCTTTCATGCTCTTAAGCTTACAGATGGTGCGCTTGCCATCTCTTGAACAGGGCAGGGTAAAACAGAGGGTTCAATCTCATCCCATTTTTCTGGAGCAGGACAATATGGGGATTTGGCAGAGCTTGGAAAATGTATTATTTTTTTTAACTTGGGGGCTTTGCTATCTGTAATCAAAAAAAGTAATGTTTCCAAGTGTTGTGCTCTATGGTCATAATTTTGCATACACATGAGTGATGATCTGAATGTTTTTCTACCTGCCGCTTATGTGCATTTTACCTTTGATGATAACTGCAAGTCTCTCGCCACTGGGATCCCAAACCATAGAGTGCACTTCCCCTCCGATCCTGAAATATGAAAAATACAGGGGACACGGACACACACACACACACACAGAAATAGTCAAGTTAAGAGATCCATGTTCAGATTCCAGGCAGACTTGAACAGTGTGGCAGGCAATCACTCCTGAGGCATCACATTAAATTATATCAATAAATAGAGGGGGTAGCGGAAGATTAGAATACACTTAATTTTGTTTCCAGTATTTTGTGGGAGCAGAATTTAACATCCTGAGAATCCTGTATTTTGGGGAGAGATTACTTTTTTTTCAAGTAAGTTTCTGATCCTTAAGCCAAGACAGACCTCAATGAGGTGCCCTTTGGATGTGTTCAGCTACAACTTCCCAAAGCCCCAGACAGCATGGACAGCCTGTCTGTGCAGCCCTGAGACCTAGAATCCTGCCCCATTAACATTAAATTCTGTAACACCCACAGGATATGCTTCTCTTATGTACTCCCCTGCTCTCACCTCTCCTCCCCATAGAGAGTCTCGAAGGTGGTCTCTGAAAGGTCTGCCACAATGGATGCCGTTTTTGACCCACCAACCTGTACTTTCTGTTCACCTGAAACATACAACAAGGGAAAGACAACTCTAGGGCAACAAAGTGATAAGTGGAAGAAGTACACAGGAAGTTGCATTATACAAGTCAGGCTCCTTGTTCCTACACCCCAATCATGCATCCTCTGATGAGCAGTGGCTCTTGAGGGTCTTTGGTAGAGAACTGTCTTTTCCTCACCTGTGATCCAGCAACCATCCCAATATTGACTTATTCTTTGATGGATATGATAACCTGTGTGAAACTCCGTTTTACAATTCAATAACTGGTGATTCAAAAGTGAGTGCTGATTTATGTCCATGTGCTTGTTTTTTGTAATGTCTTCCTCTTGAACAAGTGCATAACATTCAATCTTATGCAAATAGGTGCTATGGAGTATGTGCTACTTTGGGCACTAAAGCCAATCCACAGACCAGTAGCAAAGCTGTTGAGCACAGTACCACTCACTTATTCAATTGTTGGTATTATAAAATATTTCCCAAAGTTTCAAGAGCATCCCCTGGAGACTGGATAGAATCAGATCATCAAAAATAAAAAAGAAATCAGTGATAACTGTGTTCAAAGCCAGTTCTGCACAATCAGCCTGACCACTAACACTGGCCAACACAAATTTTGGTACCTGTTTCTAGATATATTTTGACCTACTGATTGTAAAAATAGTTTCCCCCTATGAACTCTAGTTTTTGAGATTCAGAATATATGCCATCTATCAGTTGCCATTTGCTCACCCATAAAGAATCATGATAACCATATCTAAGAAACTAGAGCGGATGTAGTTTATCCAAGGCAATTTTCTGAATCAAAGCCCCAAATAATTTATTTATTTTATTTACGGCATTTATATGCCACCCTTCTCACCCCGAAGGGGACTCAGAGCAGCTTACAATATATATTTTCATACAATATATTATATTATTAGCATAGTACAATATCAGTATAATATATTAGCATATTACACTATACCATTATATTGTAATATTATTATTAATATTACATGTAATGTAAATATATACATTATAATATTGTATTATTATTATTAGTATTATATTGTATTACATTATAATATTATAAATATTATATGTATATACAATATACTATATTATATTATTAGTAAAGACAAGATGGGAAATTATTATTATTATTATTAACTTTATTTGTACCCCGCTAGCATCTCCCGAAGGACTCAATGCGGCTTACACAGGCCAAAGGCCTCAGAAAACAACAGCATAACAAATACATAATAAACTAATAAGCAAACCAAAAACATTAAAGCAATGTCTTCTGCTCCCCTCTGTCTTCACTCTGGCCAGAGTAGCAGGTGGTGCCACAGGAGGGAAGGGCCTCCCAACTGATGATATAGGCAGAAGACAAGATGGAAATGTCTTCTGCTCCCTTCTGTCTTCGTTCTGGCCAGAGCAGCCGTTGGTGCCAGAGAGGGGAATGTATAACCCGAAAAACCCCAGGGACAGGCCTAGAAATCAAGACACTAAGGAATTTTTTGTTGGGTATGTAATCCATGCTTTGTATACTCACCACTATATTCCAAGAAAGACAAGGTATATATCACTGATTCACCTTCGACTGTGAAGAGTAAACGACTGCCATCCGGACTCCAGCAGCCAGTCTGGGGAAGAGAGGAATATATACCAAAAATGCAGTTTAGGCAAAGCCAGTTGCGGCTGGCTTGGGGACCTCACCAGGACAGGTGTGGGCATGGAAGAAAGGATCACAGATTGACAAATGAGAACCAGTGAAGGGACAGAGAATTCATGAAAATAATTGTTAGGATGAATCAAAGTGCCTAATGCTAGATTTGGGAAAGAGTCCCTAGAATAAAAGATGGGTCAATCCTCAGACACCTATGTGTTTGGATGTGATTTTTTTTTTCAAAAAGCAAAACCATGGTCTTCACTTCAGGAAACTATACACCATCCCATCTCCAGTGAGTTGGTCTTTGTTGGGCAAACAGTTACCAACTTCTAGACATTTTTCCAAACACGAACATAGAATCACAGAATAATAGAGTTGGAAGAGACCACATGCGCCATGTAGTCCAACCCCTTGCCATGTACAAAGTCCCCTGACAGATGGCCATCCAGCCTCTGTTTACTCGATTTATTTATTTACGACATTTCTATGCCGCCCTTCTCACCCCGAAGAGGACTAAGAGCAGCTTACAAGGTATATATGCATACAATAGATTATATTAGTAGCATAGTACAATATCAGTATTAAATATTACTATATGGTACTATACCATTATATTGTAATATTATTAGTAATATTACATGTAATATAAATATATAATTATAATATCAGTATTATATTGCATTACATTATAATATTATAAATATTACATGTATATGCATTATATTATATTAATACATTCTATTATAGATTCAGGTTGAATATACCTTAATCAAAATACTGAGATAAGAAGTATTTTGTATATTTTTAAGATTTTGGACTACCTGTTGCAGCATATACATGCGTAACCCACTGTGATTACATCTAACTGGGTGGGCTATAACAGAATCAAAGTTTTCTTTAGAAAGCATTAAAATACTTTCTCATATCCACTGATTCGTTAGCAATGGATTCATTTACCCATGCTTCAACCCCCCCCCCCAAAAAAGAGTGTCTGTGAGCCTATCTAGGTCCTCCAGTGTGATTCTATTATAGGGTTTCAGCTCTAGTTTAGTGAACATGTAGGGTATTCTATTATCTGCCTACTTCACAAAATCTTTCCCCCATCCTGTCCCCACACATACCCGACAGGGGCCTTTGATGGTTGGCCACTTTTCACAAGTCCACATTTGAACTTCCCACACTCTGCAAAGAAATGCACAAATTGGTAGAAGAAAACAAATTAGCTTTGGGAACAACTGATTCTAAGAAAATGCAAAGTTAGGGAACTGCAGTCATGAATGCTTCTCTGCATGAACCTGCCCTCAAAAAGCTAAGTAACAAATATCTGGAGGTTTGGATGTGAACTACCAACTTTGATGGGCCCCTTATTTACCTAAAGACAGCTGAAGGTGTTGCTGCCAGAACCTTGCTGCCATCAGGAGACCAAGCAAGGTAAGTGACCCCACCACCGCCAAACCACTGCAACTGGATACAGTTTTCTGTAGATACATCCCACACCTGTCACAAACAAGATAAAGGAGAAAGTTGTTTAGGGAGGCAAGCACTGTGTCTTTCCAGAATCTTCTTCAATGGACAACACAAAATCAGAGCTTTTAAAAGTTACTTCTTTGCACTGCAAGTCCCAGAATTCCCCAACTGACCATACTGGGTAGAGAATTATGGAACCTAGTTTCCCAAAGGGTAATCTTTCAAGGCTTTGCTGAGAAACAGTAATAAGCCACACCACACTCTGACAATGTTCCCTATTCTACTGGGAAGAAAGTAATGTAAAGGATGCTTAGAAAATGAGTTCTTATTTATTTATTTATTTATTTGGAGCATTTATTAACCGCCATTCTCAGCCCACTCGGGCGACTCACGGCGGTGTACAGTACAAAAGGCAATTCACACAAAGACAAGTACAACAGCATATTAACCATACAACAATACAACAGTTAAAATTACACTAACTAATCCGCTTCGTCTCGTAATAGAATCGTGACCAATCTCGTATTCCTTGTACCATTCCAGTCGTCTTTACCACATTACTATAGCACTTAATTAAATGCCCTCTCGAACAGCCACGTCTTGAGGCTTTTTCGGAAGGACAAAAGAGAGGGCGCCTGCCTGATGTCTGTAGGGAGAGTGTTCCACAACCGGGGGGCCACCACTGAGAAGGCCCTCTCTCTCGTCCCCGCCAGGCGTGCCTGTGAGGCAGGCGGGATCGAGAGAAGGGCCTCCCCAGACGATCTCAAGGTCCTCGTGGGCTCATAGGCCAAGATGCGGTCTGAAAGGTATTTTGGGCCGGAGCCGTTCAGGGCTTTGTAGGCCAACACCAGCACCTTAAATTGGGCCCGGTAGCAAATCGGCAGCCAGTGGAGCTGGGACAACAAGGGTGTTGTGTGCTCCCTGTATCCCGCTCCAGTTAGTAACATGGCTGCCGCACGCTGAACCAGCTGAAGCTTCCAGGCCGTTTTCAAGGGCAGCCCCACGTAGAGAGCGTTGCAGTAGTCAAGCCGGGATGTGACCAGAGCGTGTACCACCGTGGCCAAGTCAGACTTCCCGAGATACGGGCGCAGCTGGCGCACGAGCCTGAGCTGTGCAAATGCTCCCCTGGTCACCGCTGACACCTGGGGATCCAGGCTCAACGATGAATCCAGGGTCACACCCAAGCTGCGAACCTGCGCCTTCAAGGGGAGTGCGACCCCATCCAGCACAGGCTGTAACCCTATATCCCGTTCGGCCTTGCGACTGACCAGGAGTACCTCTGTCTTGTCTGGATTTAGTTTCAGTTTGTTCGCCCTCATCCAGACCGTCACAGCGGCCAGGCACCGGTTCAGGACCTCGACAGCCTCCTTAGTAGCAGGTGGAAAGGAGTGACAGAGTTGGACATCATCTGCGTACAGATGACACCGCACCCCGAAACTCCGGATGATCTTACCCAGCGGCTTCATGTAGATATTAAACAGCATGGGGGACAGTATGGAACCCTGTGGAACCCCACAAGTCAAAGGTTGTGGGGCAGAACAGGAGTCCCCCAATAACACCTTCTGGGTGCGTCCCTCCAGGAATGAGTGGAGCCACTGCAGAGCAGTGCCCCCAAGGCCCATTTCCGCAAGGCGCCCCAGAAGGATACTGTGGTCGACAGTATCGAAGGCCGCTGAGAGGTCCAGGAGCACCAACAGGGACACACTCCCCCTGTCTAGCTCCCGGCGCAGATCATCCACTAAGGCGACCAAGACCGTCTCGGTACCATGTCCCGGTCTGAAAGCCAGACTGTGCCGGGTCTAGATAATCCATGTCTACCAAGAATACCTGGAGTTGTGAGGCCACCGCACATTCCAAGACTTTGCCCAAAAAGGGGAGATTGGAAACTGGCTGATAGTTGTCGAATTTAGTGGGGTCCCGTGAAGGTTTTTTCAACAGCGGTTTTATTATAGCTTGTTTTAAGCTTGCTGGAATCTTGCCTTCCCGAAGGGAGGCATTAACCACCACCTCAACCCACTCAGCCAATCCCCCTCTGGCCTCCTTTAGAAGCCAGGATGGGCAGGGGTCTAGGATGGACGTGGTCGGCCTCATTCCTCCAAGTATCTTGTCCACATCCTCGGGTTTCACCAATTGAAATGAATCCATCAAAATAGGACAAGCAGGTGCTCTTGCTACATCCACAGAGACTGCATTTAACATGGTGTCCAGCCCAGAACGGATCAAGGCGACTTTGTCTGCAAAGAACCGAGCAAATGCTTCACAGCGCGTGACCGAATTGTCAGGGCTCCCGCCAGAGGTGGCGGGAGTTAAAAGACCTCTAACAATCCGAAACAACTCCGCCGGACGGTTCTTTGCAGACGCAATAGTGGCCGCAAAGAAAACTTTCTTTGCGGCCTTTATTGCCGCGGCATATGCCCTAAGAAAGGACACAAACCGTGCTCGGTTTGACTCGCTTGGATCCGAACGCCACACGCTCTCTAGTTCCCTCTTCCTTCGCTTCATCACTGCCAGCTCCTCGGTAAACCAAGGGGCTGGTTTAGCTCGGCTACTTGAGAGGGGACGCTCCGGAGCGATCATGTCAATTGCCCTGGTCATCTCCCCATTCCAGAGAGCGACCAAGGCCTCGACATGGTCACCTACCGAGGTGGCAGGAAAATCCCCAAGAGCCGTCAGGAATCCATTCGGATCCATCAGTCTCCTGGGGCGGACCATCTTAGTGGGTCCTCCACCCTTGCAGAGGTTAGGGGGCGCAGTGAGCCTAAATCTGATCAGGAAGTGGTCGGTCCATGGCAACGGAGAGATGGACAACTCCTCCACACCGCCACCCTGCTCCCATCCCTGGCAGAAAACCAAGTCCAATGTATGTCCAGCACAGTGGGTGGGGCCAGATATTTGTTGGGACAGCCCCATGGTTGCCATGGCAGACATGAAGTCCTGAGCCGCTCCTGTGAGGGTCGCCTCGGCATGGATATTGAAGTCTCCCAGCACGAGAAGCCGTTGAGACTCCAACGCCAGGCTCGAGACCACCCCGCTAGCTCAGGTAGGGAGACTGTAGTGCAGCGAGGTGGACGGTACACTAACAGAATCCCTATTCTGTCCCGGTCACCCACCCTCAGGTGGACGCATTCAAAATTTGTGGTCTGCGGGATGGGACTCCTGGTCAGATGGATGGAATCTCTATAGACCACTGCGACCCCGCCTCCCCGTCCTCCGGATCTCGGTTGGTGCTGTACGGAGAAGCCTGGAGGACAAAGCTGGGTAAGATTTACGCCCCCAGCTTCATCCAGCCAGGTCTCCGTAATGCACGCCAGATCTGCCCGCTCATCCAGGATTAAGTCCTGGATCCAGGTCGTTTTTCCGTTTACAGACCTGGCGTTCAGCAGCACCACCTTCAATCCGGAGGGCCCGCTCACCTGGTTACACCAATATACCTTAGGAGACCGGTTTAGGGTTGTTAATGTTGGTAAGCGGTCCGAATTAAGCCGAATTTGAGGTCTCCTTTTACCGCATCTCCTCCTCCCCACCACGACCTCTATGGGGGCCCCTCGGCTAGTGGAACACCTCCCCTCCTCCATGCCGCAGTCCAGCACCAAGGTCTTATTTCCAATATCGCTCGAAGTTTGGATTGTTGGCCTTTGCCATCTCCCTTGCCTCCCCTCCTCCCCCCTCCCCGCCCCATCCTTGTTCACAGGCTCCAGCCCTCCTCCTCCCCTGCCCCCTCCACTAGTCAGCAGTAACAGGGACAGAACAAATAGGGGGATGGGGAGCCACATGGATAACAATAGATTCAGGTGGGGCTAGGCGTTCAGCCACACCAGTTAAACAGTTCGTAAAGTGCAAGAGACTTAAATGCCACCCAGTCAGTAATATCACTCAATCAACAACATACTGCGTACCGTTGGGCACATACATAAAGTGCAAGATCTAAGGTGCAGTACATAAAGTGCAAGATCTAAGTGCAATAGATACCCAAACTGGTTCTCTCAATTAACTAAAGTGCGGCATAGAGGAAAAGGATGGGGGCGTAGTGCTGGTATAATTTAGCAGCAGTGGCAGGCGCCTTAAAGTGCTATTGCGTTCTTGATCAAATTAGCAGCAAACGACAACCAAGGGGTAACTGAGGTAGTGATATGTAATCACACTCTCACAAGGATGATGGTAATAGTAATTGGATAAGGTTATTAAAATTGTTATGATTCAGATGTAATCCCTAGACGGTTGGTCTAAAAGCGGATGGGTCATCCGGCGATGTCAACACAGCGGCGGTCAGCACAGTTGAACTACGATGATATCTCTTCATACAAAGAGGCCAGCATAAGAGGTCTACACAAACGGTCTACACAAGAGGTCTACACAAGAGGTCTACACAGTAACAATCAGCAGTTCAACACAGTCAACACAATCAGCAGGCACTGCTGGACCATGAAAGATCACACAATTTGTCCAAGATTGGATCAGCGGGATGCAAAGGTGGCGGTAATTTGGTCACAGGTGGCCGACTCAGTCTTCCGGGGGTGGTGGATACCGGACAACCACCGAAAGATCTAAAATGCTCTAGGCTAAAGTGACATAGTAGTAGAACCAGTTCGAAAAAAGTTCTTTGCCTTCTTGGACTAGGCCACTTCTCAATCAAGGGTAGTCAGTTCAGAATTAGGAGACCGGTTTCTGAGGATCCGTGAAGGACAAGCCGGCATCCCCTTGGCCAGGCTCCCGCCTCTTCCCGACCAGCCAATGGGTGGTGGCACTAATCACAAGGAGTTCTTACTCCTTTCACTCTCAAGAGGCAAACCTATGATCACAGCTTTGGCAACAGGCAATAATTATATATCAACATTGCCTTCCACTGTTTTTATGTTATCCCTCCAGCACCATAACAATGGCAATTATGCCAGCAGGGATAGGGAATATGTCGCCCTCTAAAGGTCACTAAAGGTCCATCCCCTTACCTATATGGGTACACTCACTAAGGACAGATGGAAATGGCAGCCCCATCATAACAGAAAGGTGATGCAATTTGCATTATACTCACAAGCATGGCAGTATCAACAGGTGAAGCTGAAAGGAGCAATCCTCCACTGGGTGCCCAAGCCAAACTGGTAACGGGACTATGACCATGGTGGCTAAGGACCTGAGCACAGCCAGAAGAAGGCCTACAAGGACAAGAGACAGGAAATAGTATCATGCTCCTCCAGAAGCAGGATAAATGTTAGGTGCACAAGCCCTTAAGCCAAGGCTTGGTCTGTTTTGTCCACTCCAGATGGTACAAGCTGCACAGGGCACCCTGAGAATGTCATCTTTCAACATATGCATTCAACTAATGTTTCGAGATCTTCTAGGGAGGTCCCTCTAACTGTACCACAGCTTCAGAGCTATATTTCGTGGGAGGATAGGACAGGAATACAGCTACAGTGTAGTATTAATGCAGTTTTATGCCACTGTGGCTGGCATAGCTCACTGCTATTGAATAATGAGTTGTAATTTTACAAGGCCTTGAGGCTTCCCCACCAAAGAACGGTGGTGTCTCACCAAACCAGGATTCCATAGCACTGAGCCATGGCGCTGAAAGTGGTTTCAAACTACAGTAATTCTACAGTGTAGATGCACCAGGAACTTCTCAGTAGCTTCTCCCAGACACTGAAATCCCTTCCCAGAGAGGGGAGGCTGGCATCTTCTTAACTCTCTTTCCACAGGCAGGTGAAGACCATTTCATTCCAGCAGTCACTGAAAACTCTTTTTGCAGAGAAAACAGTCCTGGTATAATGTGATGAGCTTTTGCTGTACATGCTTCCAAATTTATGATGATATCATTGCTTTTGTGTGCTGTTAATTTTTAACTGTAGTTCAGATTTAACATTTACAAATTTGAGTTTTGTGCATTATTCACAAATTTGATTAATATGGTCTCTACAGGAATCTTTATGAATGCATTTACTTTATAGAATTATTGTAGTTTGACTCATCTGAGATGTAGTTTTACAAGGTTTTTAACTTTCTCTGACAAATACTGCTGGTGCCTCATCAAATTATAACTCCATAGCATTGAGCCATGGCAGTTAAAGTGGTGTGAAACTGCATTAGTTCTACAGTGTAGATGCATCTTAGGTCTTCCAGCACTCCTTTATGGTCAACTTACAAAAGACGGTGACCACAGAATCACATGAGGAGAACCTAGAGATTCCCGAAGAGATGCCAGGTTTTTTTTATTCACATTTTTTTCACCTTTGTGTGGTTTTTGCACCCCTAACCTCAACAAATGAGAAGGACTGACTGTATAGTTATTTCAACTGCTATAAACCATCTTGAATCTCAAACTCAGAAAAAAGATGCAAAACTCAACAACAAGAATACACAACTAGAGAAAATCAGCAACAGATGACATGCAGGGTTGCAAGAAAGTGCAGTGCAACATGTTTTCCTGGTGGATAGCAGAAGCTGAGTATTAAGACTTCCATATTTATTCAAATTACAGTGTAGTTTGGAGCTAAGGAAAGGAAAGCACACATAGTACACACAGGCTGCAAAAAAGTACTCAGGGAAATGGGCAACTAGTAGCAAACATGAGACAAAAAATACCCTTCAAAAAAGAACTGTGAGGGGCAGGAAGGGAGAAGAATCCTTCCCCATATCATACATCTGAAATCTGGCATATGGTTCTCTAGAGCAGAAAATTGGACACTGAATAGAAATTGTGTTTGGTCAATGAGCAAGCAGGACTCAACTAGCTAGTTACCTGGTAGAAAGAGAAGTGGGATCAAGATGCCAAATCAGCACACAGCTCTCGCACGCCACAGCAAGGATAGATGCACACAGTGGCTTCCATGCCATTGATGCCACGTTCCTTTGCAAGCGATGTTTCAAGGTTGGCACTGTGGCACTGGAGAACAAAAAGCAGGAAAGGATGTAAACACAAGAAATAACAAAAGGCAAAAAGCTCCCCACAGAGCACCAGAAAGCTGGATCAGAAAAAGAACTGGCCACTTAGGAACAAATAAAATAAAATAAAGACAACTGGTAACATCCAATAAAGGGGATGTTTTAAAAAGGACAAAAATCTTCAGATTTTGGGGAAAAATGCTTTTATTCTTGCAATTAACAAGATTTGCAATTAGCAATTTAATAGCCTAACTCATGGGTAGTTAAAAGATAAAGAAGAAGGCCATTAACAATTTATAGGCTGAAATGCGTTGAACTAATTGTAAGAATAAAACCATCATTTTCAACACCCAAAGACTTTGTCTTTTCTATATATTTTCCTACTTATGTGCCAGGCCTCTGATTGGCTCACGTCTATCTTTTTCATGATCAGTGCTTCTGAAGCTGGATTTCTTCTAGCCAAGTCTAAGATCTTAGCTATAAACCACATTGGATCTAACCTCCAATCTTCTTTCATTCAAAGAAGTAACACAATGGCAACTACTTAGGACCCTGGCTTGTGCTAAGTAATTGAACCAAAGAAAATGCAACAGTTCTTTTTTGTTTTTGTAAAATTCTGGAAGAAGGTGTGGATTTATTTCTGGTAGAATATTTGAACACTTGGAACCACTCAACAAAAACAGGTTGTGTTCAGCTATCCAGAGAACTGAAGCAACCAAACCCAGGTTGCAAATTTCAAAAATGAGTCATAACAAATCCCTGTATAAAGTAGAATGTCTTAGGTCCCAGGCTGGGAGAAATAGGACATATACAGTACATTACTTTGTGTATAAGTTGACTCATTTAATGGCAAGTTAGGGAGCCAAAATTATGGATATTAATATGGCATATTGATAAGTCAAGAGTCATTCTGCAAAGAAGAGGAAACATCCTGGCTGCTATTGCCATTTATCCAACCAGAGATTTAAAAATGAAGAGTAGCGAGGGTTGGTGTTATATTTATGTTCTAAGCGGAAACAACCCAATGCCTACAGACAATTTGGATTATAATCCCATAACCTCTGACATGTTGCCATGATAGTTAATGGAAGCCCAAACACCTTCCCAACCCATCCTCAATGTGCTTTGTTAAAAGTTTCCTGTTTAAAGAAAAAAAATTAACTTGCTGAACACAGGTGCTTCAGCTTAGATCCAAAGCATACCTATTTGCATTGTAAACATGAATGTTGTCATTCAACAGGGCCACTGCAAACTTGCTGGTGTGGGGGTGCCATGCAAAGGCTCGGATTGGGCAGCCTGCCCTAGATAGTTAAGTCAAGGGAAGACAAAAGATCATTAGACATCTTCCATTTCAAAAAAATCAAACGGAAGTAAATATGTAGAAGCGAGAGATTCACGGGGCTCCCCCAACAAAATAATTAATTCAAGTTAGTGGAGTCCAAAAGCACTATGTTCACCAATAGACCTCCTTCTCCAATATTATTTCAATAAATTCTTTTGTTCAATGTAGATTCTAGCTTGCATTGTTCACTCAAGATATGAATTACCAGGCGGAAGTTATGTCAATATCAATTCATGATCAACTAATCCTGAATGCTTCTGGCTGGCAATAATGTGTATCTGTAGGGATTCCTACAGAACAAGGATAAGGAAGTTCTTTCAGCTTGAGAAAGAACTTTCATTTCAGAGAATGTCTCGGGATCAGCATTCTAGGCAGGAAGGAAACTAATACATTACACTTTAAAGCTCTTCCTGTCACTAACAAAACATTCAACCATTCAGTATGAGAAAGAGAAAAAACTACACAAAATTTTGAGCCTCTCCCAACAATGGGATCATGGGGAAAAGACTGATTTAAGGTTCTATGTCTTATATTTGTTGGTCTGAATCTGTTTCATTTCATCCCAGTGACTTCTCCAATCCCAAACAGTGCTTTGAGATCTATCCCAGCAACAACCAATTTGGGACTGGCCGCTAACAACCTGCAAGAGTCACTGATCTAACCCCTGCCTAGGCAACAGGAAACTGCACAAGGGATTAGACATAAGCAAAAACATGAATATGCTCAACACACAGGACTTACCAGTCCATAGCCTGAGAGAATTTTGCTATCATGTCTTCCTTCTTTAGCTTTGGAGGAAAAGGCAGATAAGGAAAGGATTAGTAGTTCAAGAGCAGCCATTTATAGTTCAAGAGCAGCCATTTATACCAGCCTTTTACTTAAAATTTATACCTAAAGCAAGTCCTACCTAAAGCAAGACTAAAAGAACAGACGGGTGGTTTAGTATATGGAATTGATACAAAATGGTTCCTTCCTTTAAAAAAAGAGGAAGAGTCCCTGGTGCTGAATACTGTAACTGCCAACCCCACTCCCCATTTTGAACTATTACCCCTCTCTTATCATCCATTCCAGTTACACCCTGGTTCAGCTCAGGTCTATACTGCACAAGCCTTACCGATAAATGAGGAAAAAAGGAGCCATGGGGGGAGGAAAACCAGCCAAAGAGTGTTAATGTACAACGGGAGCCAGTTTTCATCCAACGAAGGACTGCAAGGTAAGTATGAAAATACAAAAGTGAGAACACAGGCAACTACAAAAGAAATAGGTAAAGACTACTGTTATTCTGAGACAGAAGTAAACATTATGCAATGGCTCAGGCCTATGACTGAAAATGGCATCCCAGGGTCATTGCAACACTCTGCCTTCTGTAAATATAGGCCAGGCATCCTCAAACTGTGGCTCTTCAGCTGTTTGGGCCTTCAACTCCCAGAATTCCTGACAACAAGCTCGTTAGAGCTTCTGGGAGTTGGAGGCCCAAACAGTTGGAGGGCCGCCGTTTGAGGATACCTTCCTCTCCATAAGGAAGAGGAAGCAGGCTTGTTTTCTATTACTTTGGAGACTAGGACAGAAGCAGTGGATTCAAATTTCAAGAAAAACATAACATAAACATAAGGAAGACCTTCCAGAGGGGAAGAGTTGTTCAGCAGTAAAACAGGCTGCCTTGGAGTCTCCTGATCTGGAAGATTTTAAGCAGAGGCTGGATGGCCATCTGTCGGGGGTGCTTTGATTGTGTGTTCCTGCATGGCAGGAAGTGGTTGGGCTGGATGTCCCTGTTGGTCTCTTCCAACCCCATGATTCTATGTTCTGGTTGGGAAGGCCATCTAACAGGGCCGAACAATGAAGGAAATTTGAAGTATGCATCTAAGACAGGAATGGGCAACTTGTAGCCTTCAAAAAAATATGGACTATAATTTCTGTAATTCCTTGCTGTTGGTGGTGATGATGAGGACTAAGGAGAACCGTAGGCCATAAAGAATACCTCTATCTCTGAAGAATGCTTGGAAACTACAGCTGGTCCAAAGAGCTGCAGCCAGGTTGCTCCCTGGGGCTGGCTGAAGGGAGGGGACAATCCCCCTGTTGCAGGAGCTCCACTGGCTGCCAGTCTGTTTCCAGGCACAATTCAGAGTGCTGGTTATGACTTTTAAAAGCCCTAGACAATTCAGATCCAGGCTACTTGGCCAACCACATCTCCTTGTACGAACTTGCCCGGGCCCTGGGATCTTCAGGAGAGCCCCTTCCCTCGGTCCCACCTCTAGCTTGGTTTTAATAATAATGATAATAATAATAAACATCTGGAGGGAAACTGCTTTCCACTCCTGATCTGAGGAGTGATTCTTTGGATAAAAATACTGCGACGACTTTCAATCCAATACTCTGGGTTATGGATAAAAGAAAATAGAAACAAGAGACACTGATGCAGTGACAAATAAATAAAAAAAAGAAAGATTCGAATCAAAGTACTCATTGGAAAGCTACCTAGCTCCTTTGCAGAATCCATCCATGACTCCCCATTTGTCTCTTCGTCCAAGTCACTTTCTTCCTCTACATTTGCAAGCTCTTCAAGTACTCCAGACACCCCAATGTTACGCCTAGGGGCAAAACACTTTGTGAAATCTCTTGAAAACCAAAGGGAGGGCAAAAATGGTTCAGTCTGCTGCATGCAATGAGTAAAGGCAAGGATATGTAATTTTTGTCAGGAAAGCCCAGAGTTTTGGATGTGCATGAAGATTCTCTCCTCCAATTTTTCTCTTTCAGTTCTTTTTTTAAAGGAAGAATGCTCTTCTTCCTTGTGAAGAGGAGACCGAGTCCATGTGATCAACAGGCTCAGAAAGCAAAATGTGGTTGAAGCCAAATAGTTAATATCAGTTAAGAGACTGAGGCAGATACAATATACCTATTTGCTTAGTTACAGAACTGTCCCATCACCACATATCTGGTCTATATATTCCTGTCAAACGTTTATGGAAAGGGATTGGGTGGCTGCTCTTACTAGTTTTATTTAGAATGTTTTCATCTTGACAAACTTTGCTATCCAGTCAAAATACTTCGACATCATGCAATAGTGGTGTAAACGTAATTTACTTCCCTCTACCCTTTGTCACTTTTTTTGTATCCAGAGAAGGTTTTCTTATCAACCAGTACAATATAATTGGTACACAGCCAAAAAAAAAAAAAAAAAAAAGGAACAGGAGCTTATTTCCTGTTGGGAGGCAAGCAAAACAACAGGGAAGAAAACATTCTCCATCTCCTGCTGTTGTAATTAATGTGAACTTCAAAAACTTTATTTTTATCTTGCCTTTCTCCTCTTAGGCACTCAAGGCAGCTAACAATGACATGAAACAATATAATCCAATTTAAAATCAAGGCAAATACATATACATATAAATGTAAAAAAATTAAAAACAATTAAAATTTTGTTTCATGAGAGTACAACTTAAATTCAGTTAAAATACAATTAAAATTTCATTTAAAAATTGGAAAGCTCTCAAAAATCCCACTCACAGCATCTTCAGCAGACTGCCCCTGATTGTTTCCTAAATGCCCAATGTCAGAGGTATGTTTTCAACTACCTGCCAAAGGCGAATAGGGATGGGGCCATTGTCTCTCTAGGGAGGGTGTTCCAGAGTCTGAGAGCTGTCACCCAACTTGCTAATTTTGTTATGTAAAACAGACTCTCCATACACCCCTTTTTCTATGCCATTGGGTATGTTTAAACACAGGTTCTTTCACTGTTTCATCGAGGCTGGGTCATACTCACCAAGCATTAATGCACCTCTTCCAAAGGGACTCACGGTGATGAATAAAGGCAGGCTTGGTGCTGTGTTCCAAACGGCTGTGAGATTTCAGGGATTCTTTGGGAAGGGTCGGGACTGGCAGATTCTCCAGCTGTAAAGAACATCAGACAAACAAGAGTCAGTAAAAAACCTTAATTTAAACAAACCAGAAGAACCGGAAGACAGAGAACCAAAGCAGCACACACTGTCTACACCAGGGTTTCTAATGTGGAAAACCAATATTATTTCCTTAATTTGAAGAGAATGCGTATCTTTAAATTACTGGCGCTGCTAAGGGCATATGTATGATCAACAGTATGACATTTTCACAACTAATGTTTCCATACATCCTATTTCAAAAACCCCTTTTCTCTACTTGAAATAAACTGACATCATCTTTATTAGCTGGACTCATAGAGAAGAGGCTCTGATTAAGTTCCATCAATAATGTCAGTTTCAATCTAGATGAGTCATGCAATAGGTTCACTTTCTCGACACTAATGCTCTACTACATTATTACCCAAAGAAAGAGGCAGGTAATAATAATAATAATAATAATAATAATAATAGAATTATGAGCATGAACACCACAATAACTGAAACCTGTCTGTTACACAAGCTTACATGCTTCCAACTTCTACCAAGACACTACTGGCTGATAATAACACTGGCATCAAAAATGGTAGATGAACGTTTTAGTCCTGATATTTAGAGACATAGTTTGCCTAAATATCCCAAAGGCACCAGATCCTGTCTGATCTGCAAAGCTAAGTGTGATCATGATTGGTTAGTACTTGGATGGGAGACCACCAACAAATATTAGGTGTTGTGTGGTATACTTTAGAGGAAGGAATAGGGAAACCATCTCTGAATACATTTTGCCTAAGAAACCCTAAAAAATTTATGAGCTTTCCATAGACCTACAGGCATCTTGAAGGCACATATACACACTGCAACTGCATCTGCATAATCATGCCTAGAATTTTAGGTATGGTTTTTAACCTCTTTCAGTTCTATTGGAAATATTTAATTCAGTCTAGCAGAAAGGTAAAGTATTAATCTGCCAGAGATAAAAAAAAAACCAACTTTCTTCATCTATTACCTCTGGTGTGCTGAAAGGTGGTAGTGAAATTGGCACACCCTTCATCTAGCACCAAACAAAATATTTCAGTGAGAAATTTCACCCAGTAAAAGTTAGAAGGAGTATTCACTGTCTAAAAGAAAAGAAGTCTGCTATCTTCTTCATATGACCCAAAACATTCGTTGCTGCTTACCTGTCCCTGGAAAGGAAGAGGAAGATTTTCATAGCTGAGTTCAGAAACTAAGGCATTATTATATTCATAAAGGGTGACATCTCCAGGAGCTGGTGGGGGTGGAAAGAGCGCTAGGGAACACATCCTTCTGATCATCCACAGCAAAGCAGAAGAGAAGAAAAGAAAAGAGCCTGCATTCAACAAAACAGTACTATGCAACTTTCATGTAAACATTTGCCACCCACAGGGAACAAAATATTTTCTATAAGTTGTTTGGTCCACAGTATAAAACTGGAATGCCAAGAGTTAGCTTACAAGCATGTTACTTTTTTCAATTTTCAGTTCTATGTCATTTATACTGGTTGAACATCCTTTATCTGAAATTTCAAAATATGAAACACTCCAAAGGCTGAGATCATAATACCTTTGCCTTCTGATGGGTCAACATACACAAACTTTGTTTCACACCCAAAATTATTAAGAAGAATGTGCATGAAATTGCACTGAAGCTATGTGGTATCTCTGAAAAAGAAATGAATTAAGTGTTTAGACTTTGATCCCATCACCAAGATATCTCATCATGTACATACATACAGGCAACCTGCAAGTTACAAACAAGATAGGTTCTATAGGTTTGTTCTTAAGTTGAACTTGTTTGTAAATTGGAACAGGTACATTTGTAAGTGTATGTCTGACCAGATAGATATAGATAGATAGATAGATAGATAGATAGATAGATAGATAGATATCAGGCCACACATATACATATAAATACTTTGGATAGCCTAGAGAAGGGTTAACACCCCTGTGGTGTTTGTTTTGCTGTCTGTGCCTCTGATCAGAAGATTTTACTTCACTTTCTGTCCTTGTAATTATTGGATTTTAAAACATTTGACTTGTCGAAACAAGGGTAGGAGATAAAGCTTCAGCTGAGCCCCCTTTTCCCCATGATCTCTTTTGGGATGGAATTTCACCAGAAAATGTTTCTCAGGACTACATCATGGGGCTCTTCCACACATCTGTATATTCCAAGGCAGGAAATCCCACATTAGAATCATAGAGTTGGAAGAGGCCTCATGGGCCATACAGTCCAACCCCCTGCCTAGAAACAGGAATATTGCATTCAAAGCACCCCCAACAGATGGCCATCCAGCCTCTGTATATAAGTTCCCAAAGAAGGAGCCTCCACCACACTCCGGGGCAGAGAGTTCCATTGCTGAACGGCTCTCACAGTCAGGAAGTTCTTCCTCATGTTCAGATGGAATCTCCTTTCTTGTAGTTTGAAGCCATTGTTTCATGTCCTAGTCTCCATGGAAGCAGAAAACAAGCTTGCTCCGTCCTCCCTGTGTCTTCCCATCAGATATTTATACATGGCCCTCATCATGTCACCTCTCAGCCTTCTCTTCTTCAGGCTAAACGTGCCCAGCTCTTTAAGCCGCTCCTCATAGGGCTTGTTCTCCAACCCTTGATCATTTTAGTCGCCCTCCTCTGGACACATTCCAGCTTCTCAATATCTCTCTTCAATTGTGATGCCCAGAATTGGACACAATATTCCAGGCGTGGTCCAACCAAGGCAGAACATAGCATGACTTCCCTAAATCTAGATACTAGACTCCTATACTATTGACTCCTATTGATGCAGGCCAAAATCCCATTGGCTTATTTTTGATATTCTGGGATATAGGGATGTGTGGAAGGGCCCAAAGAGAATTTCTCACATCATTCATGCAAGCTTTCCTCAGGGAAACCTATGATTGAATTCCTGGGGCCCTCACAGGTCGACAGGGAACTTGAAGGCACAGGAAGAAAAAGCTTGCCTCACTGGTCCATATAATGTGGCTTGGGCAGCCAACCTCACTCACCCAGTCAGGAGCCTCAGGCCCCTTCGTGTGCCGTCGCGGCTTTTCTTCGTCAGAAACGGGCGAGAGAGGAGGAGGGAACCCGGCGATTCGTAGTTGCCAATTTCGGCTTTTCCCGGGCACCATTCAGACCTTAGGGACGGAAGCCGAACAGGGTCATAACAGTGCAAGAAAACGCTTCCGCCAGCCCCGGTACGCACAGCCTCACTGCCCACAACTCAGTATTCGCTAGGGAGAGGACGCCCCCTAGTGGCTACTGAGAGTAATACAGAAGGTCGTTGGATTTCTTAAAGGAGCCCAGGCGTTTCTTGCAGTGTAGTTTTTTAACACGTGTATTATGTATACTAAAATAGTGAAGAGTAGAGACATCACACTGGCAACAAAGATCCGCATAGTTAAAACCATGGTATTCCCCATAGTCACCTATGGATGTGAGAGCTGGACCTTAGGGAAGGCTGAGCAAAGGAAGATAGAACTGAACTGTGGTGCTAGAGGAAAGTGCTGAGAGTGCCTTGGACTGCCAGAAGATCCCACCAGTCCATCCTCCAGGAAATAAAGCCCAGCTGCTCATTGGAGGGAAGAATACTAGAGACAAAGATGAAGTACTTTGGCCACATCATGAGAAGACAGGAAAGCTTAGAGAAGACAATGATGCTGGGGAAAATGGAAGGGAAAAGGAAGAGGGGCCGACCAAGAGCAAGATGGATGGATGGCATCCTTGAAGTGACTGGATTGACCTTGAAGGAGCTGGGGGTGGCGACAACTGACAGGGAGCTCTGGCATGGGCTGGTCCATGAGCTCACGAAGAGTCAGAAGCGACTGAACACATAAACAACAATTATATATACTATATGTATGTCTCTGCATGTCTATGTGTGCTTGTGTATATAAAGGATGCTGCAGATTTCTTTCTTTCTTTAAAACGTTTATATTCCGCCTTTCTCACCCTGAAGGGGACTCAAACATTCAATGCCGGGACACAAATTCTTATATACATACATAAACATTAAAAATATTTATAAAGCTATTGTCCTCCCAACCCTGCTATACGGCTGCGAGACGTGGACAGTCTACAGATGTCACATGCAACTCCTGGAATGATTCCATCAGCGCTGCCTCCGGAAAATCCTGTAAATCTCTTAGGAAGACAAGTAGACAAATGTCAGCATGCTGGAAGAAGCAAAGACCACCAGCACTGAAGCAATGGTCCTCCGCCATCAGCTCCGCTGGACCAGCCACATTGTCTGGATGCCCGACCACCGTCTCCCAAAGCAGTTGCTCTATTCCGAACTCAAGAATGGAAAATGAAATGTTGGTGGACAGGAAAGGAGATTTCAATGTAACTAACCACATTTTTCTTAAGCCAAATTTGTATTAAACAATAAAATTTAAAACAATACTGTAGAGAAGTGTTTATTATAAAGGGTTTATTGTACTGTGTTTAAACTGTATTTATGTTTTACATGCGTGGCCATGGCCTAGCTGTGAGAGATAGGTTGCCATGGTGACAAGGCAGAAGAGAAGGTGGGCGGAGCTTAAGGAGAAAAAGGTTTGAAAGTAACAGTTAATAGTCAGTCAGGAGGATGAGACCCTGAGAAGAGGAGCGGAGTCAGTTAGGGCTCTGTGTGGTGAAGCAGTATAAATTCAGTTTGTTCTTAGCATTTGTGAATATTTCTTCAGCAAGGGAGCTGAAGGTGAAACCTTGTTAGATTGCTTGTGTTAAAAAGAATCTAACAAAGGGGGTTTTAGGGATCCCAGTAGTGAAAGACTGGAGATCGGTGGTTTGATCCGGTATAGGACAAACATAGTGAATATTCACAACAGGGAACACTGAAATAATAAAGTACTTCACTGAAGAAGGAGTTTAAAGGATTGTAACATCAGAAGCCTGAATGTATCTCTACCAAGCCATATTGTAACCATCAAGTTTGTGCCAAGTTCAACATCTTAGTATTGCAACAATTACGCTCTGTTAACAATAAACTTGTTCTCTTGTGTTATAAATCTGCCTCCTCCATTGATTTTACATTTGGTGCAATCCACTCTACCAAAGTTGCCTCACAACGCAGATAGGGATAAATAGAGACTTCAATTCCAACGTCTCTCTATATATATAATGGTGGCAGTGTAATCAAGCAGTTTTGGGACTTCCTTATAATTTAGGTTGAAATTAGGTGGATTAACATACGTATTTACTTAATTTTGGTAATCCCATTTAGGTGGGATTACGCTTCCTTACAGATACTAGTTAGGCCTATTTTTAATAGTAACTCTCAAGCAACCAGAATCTACATCTATTCAGCATCTACCAATCCCCATGGGTCCTGGTTACCCGAGAGTCTACTGTATATACACACATACAGATGTAGAAGGATATATATAAAACACAGAAGCAAAAGGGAATATATTGTGTGTGTGTGTGTGTGTCTGCCATAAAGGTACATAAGGGAATATATATATATATATATATATATATATATATATATATATTTGCATGATATGTACACACACACATACACAATAAACACAGATGCAGAAGAAAATATATAGATTTATCTTTATGTGAGATGGATGGATGGATCGATAGATAGATAGATAGATGAAGAAGGGTATGTTTGTATCTACCTACCTATATATCTATCACATACAGATGCAGAAGGGAATATCTCTCTTTGTGTGTGCCTTCAAGTAGCCTGCTGACTTACATTGATCCCATGAATTTCATAAGTTTTTTAAAGCAAGGGACCCTTAGAGATCCAGGCCCTACATTGGCATGATGAGGCAAACACACCTTTGTTTTGTTGGGGGGCGTTTAGAAAAAATGAACCCTGGGGATTCCTCTTCTGCCAGCTGCCAAGACCAGTACATCCAGACACAGAGTGCCAGAGTTAGGGACACACTCACAGTTTTGCTGATTCTCATGCATGCAAAGGCTGCTGTTTTGAATAACCTAGACAATTCAATGACAGGGGAATCCTGAGCAAGATAAGGACCAGTGAAAGATATCTTGTTCAGCCCTATAAGCCCTGGCACACTGTTGGCATGGCCTCGTGGATGGAGGGCACAGCAGAATCCCATGCTTATAACTTCCCATCCAGTTTGCCATATTCTTCATTGGGAAAGTTAGATTACACCTTCCCTCTATTTCCTTGAATTGCATTGGACTGGCAAATACATTTCAAAATATAATTCATTTATTTATTTTGGATGCATCTCCACTGTGGAACAAATGCAGTTTGATCCCACTTTAACTGCCATGGCTCATGGCTCATGGCTATGGAATCAGGTGAGTTGTAGTTTGGTGAGGCACTAGGATTATTTGGCAAAAAAGGCTAAGGACTTTCTAATTCTACAACTCCAATAATTTCATTGGACTAAACCATGGCAGTTAAATGGGTCTCAAATGGCATTCATTCTACAATGTAGCTGCACCGTGTTTCAGTAACACTGAAATAGTCACTAAGGTGTGAGCTTGTGTTTATGAAGTGTCAGGTCAAGGATGTCCATACAGGAAAAAAAAATTGCATTTATGCTTAGACGTTTGTGGTGTTGTCCACAGCTTTGCTATGTATGTAGTCCAGCAAGACCACATCTTGCATGTCCACCCCTGCATGTTATGCTCCCTTTTTCCATGTATGCCCCTCCTAGCTCCCAGTCCTTGGTTAGGAAAGCTTCCAGTCCTGCCCCGGGGTTATATTTTTGTCTCGCTTTTATTATATTTATCTTTGTTTTTTTCTAGAGGCCGCAGAAGTTATTTTAAATTTTTTCAGGATATTAAATAAACGCTGTGGCCAAGGGGAGGAGCCCACAAAGCCTGCATTCCTGACCCATCGGAGAGAAAGCGAGAGGGAGAGAAGGGCCCGGTCGGAGCTGGCTATTTTGATGGCGCCTTCGCCTCAAAGACATCAGAGGCACCACAGGCCTGGCACTGAGTTCTCGGATGTATGGACACAAACATACGCCAATGTTGGACTGGCGCATCGGGGCAGAGAAAGCGTAAAAGAGAACGCACAGCATGTGTCTTGTTGATTATGGATATGGAATCACAAAAAAATAATAATTCTAGAGGCATTACAGCTTTCTAGACAGACGGACAGTACAGCTTGGAGACTAATACTAAACCATTCCAGTTTTTTAACTGGAAACTGTATAAAACTCAGGCCCATCTACTCTGCCTTTAATGGGGTTTCTGAATTCATATTATCTGCTTTTAATTGGTTTATATGGCAGTGTAGATTCACAATTCAGTTCAAAGCAGATAATCTGGATTCAAAAGATGGATTATATGGCAGTGTAGATCCAGTCTCAGAAATGCACACACAGAGAGATTTAATTTTTGTGGTGTAGGAATCTATCCCTATGCTTTCCATATTATTTCTATGACTCTTTCTGCACTGGCTTATCTACACTGCCATATAATTCAATTTCTGAATTTAGTTTATATGTAGGCTTGTACAGTATAATCCAGTTCAAAGCAGATAACCTGGATTCAGAAACTGGATTGTGTGGCAGTTTTGATCCAGCCACTGCCAAATTAATGCAGTTTGACCTGCATTATATAGCCTGTATGGAACCATATAATGTATATATAACTGCATTGTATATGGTTCTATGCTGTATTATAGGGTCAATGTAATAGTAATAATAATAATAATAATAATAATAATAATAAGTGACTTGAGGTGAGTTACAACATAGTTAAAACAGTAAAGTAGAACAAAGCACTATTAAAATAATATAACAAATACACATAGGTAAAATGCAGATTAAAAATGCAGGTTCAAATTCAGAGTTCAAAACTGTCTGGGGCCCCTTCCTCACATCTGAATAAAATCCCACATTATGTGCTTAGAACTAGAATAAATATATGGCAGTGTGGACTCAGATAACCCAGTTCACAGCAGATATTGTGGGATTTTCTGCCTTGATATTCTGGGATATAGGGCTGTGTGGAAAGTCCTGCCAGAAGAGATATGTCTTGAGTTGTATCTTAAATTCTGACAACTGATTTAGCTGTGGGATCTCTTCTGGCAGGTTGTTCTTGGGGTGACTGATGACAAGTGTAGAACCCACTTACCTCTGGCACCAAAGCCCAGCAACACACTTATTTTGTTAACCGGAGTATAAGTGTACATATAATCCGGATACAACATGTGGTAGACCAGACTAATTGCTGAGTTGTCAACATATGCCTAAATATACCTATTATTGGCAGA